GGTCTTGGTGGACACTTGAGTGGGTACTAGCCCGGTGCGGCGCAGAAATTCGGTGATTAGTGGATTGAGCGGGAAACGGAGGCCTCTTTCGATGATGGACAGCACGGTAAAGGGGCATTGTTCTGATCTGCCCCAAGGCGTGGTCTATTCTTCTGCGAGCTCAAGGTAGATGTCGGCTGGGATGCCGTACTCCTCTCTGAACGCAGCTAGCGCAGCCGGAGTATCTACCAGGAAGCGGAATTTCCCCATGTGGCCGACTAATCTAGCTCAGCCGAGGTGGTTTGGCACAGACTAGGAATGGGTGGCAGTTTGGTCCTTATGAGCCTCAGAATTGGTCTTTGGTCCCTTTGGACTCTGCAGGAAAAAGGATGGCAAGTATAAGAGGAAGTGTGCCAAACCACCACGGTCGTAAAGTCTAACCAGGAGCTCGGTCGCCCAAGTGGACCAGTTGTTAGCCCGGTCGAGCGGCCAAGTCCTATGGCCATTCCGATTTTTGCTAAGATTACAGCAAACAGTTTATTTGCTCGGTTAAACTGATTTCTTGGATCAAATGAAGATCTGGAGCCCGGTCAGCCCCAGATCCTCAGTGTTCTTTAGGAAAAATGAAGAACAGTTTGAAGAAAAATGAAGAAACTAAGGGGCATTGAAGGTTGTGAGTGGGAAAGGCCCTAAAACCTACGGATTTGGTACCAGAGAGGAAGAAATATCAAATAAAAATGACATGGGTTGAAGGACTTACCAATGGAAGGCCTGTTTCTTCGAGCACAAATGCAAAGAATGGCAGACGAGGTTTGAAGGAAGATGCTTGAGCTCTGAAGTGTCGGATTGCAGAGAGGCAGTAGGAGCGAAATGAGGGAGAAGGGGCTTGTATGTATAGATGGAGAAACCACCAAGAATTCAAATTCTAGCAGAGGGCTGGGTTGGCTGCTCGAGGTCCAATGGAAGCCTGCCACGTGTCCCCATTTATGACGACGTCAGAACTGAAGGGACAAGTTGAAGAGTTGAGGAGACAACCGGGCAATTTTTCAAGAAGAGAACGTCAACCGAGGAGTTGAACCGGACAAATTTCGCAGACAGGAGTCAACTAGCCCGGTCGCCGATTCGCATTCTAAGGACCGAGGAAGTGTTATCCTGGTCGGAATATGTAATCACAGTCATGCTTTTGCGGACAGAATTAAGGGGCAATTGAGAGGGAGATTTATGATCTGAAATTGGGCCGTGGTAACGGCCGGACAGATTTGGGCTGAACACATTGGGCCGTGGAAGTTTTGGGCCTGTCTAGAGAGTGTTGCTCAGTCAAGGCTAGGCACTGACAAGGCGGTGCTTCACGGCACAAGAACCGGTCAAGTGAGGGCTAGGCCGAGTTGTTCGCTGCCTCACTGGGCTCCACGATTCGAGAGTTAGCTTCGTGGGAGCGCCGACGTCCAACCAGCATGAGCTGAGCCGAGCTCGGCTTTGCCGGAATGTAGCCAAGCACGATCGATATTGAATATGGCCTGGAGTAGCTCGATTATGGAGCGCTTGGGCTTAAGTGTGGAATGGCCGTTGGTAGCCGAGATAATGTTGACCGGCTGCCGAGCTCCCAACAAAGTAGGCGGGCAGTTGGGATTAGGTGATACTCAGCAAGATTTGTGCTGACGGATGGGATAGCAGAGCCACGTGTCGAGAGATCACTCGGAGTAGATTTGGGACGCAGAGGGTATATAAGCATGTCTGCCCCCCCCATACGCGGACAGATGAACATTTGGTGAGACATACACTAAACACTCAACTCTCTCCTCTCTCTCTCTCTCTCTCTTTCCCAAGGTGTGTGTTAACTCGATCGTCGGAGGGGTTTTCCGGCCACACACCGCGGGATAGCTCACCGCCGTTGTGTACGCAGGTAATCGGACAGAGACGGAGCTCGGAAGAAAGGAGTATGGGCTTGTCGGAATATTTGCTCCCCGTACAGGTATGAAATTTGAATGCATGGATTTTGATCATACCAAAGAAATGAGGATTATTTGTGAATGAGATGATGATTTTGAACAATTTGGTGTCATACTCTTATATTCTCATGTAATGTAATGTGTTTCCCCTATTTTTGATGCCTTAATTTGAGCTTTAAAGCCTTTGAATGTTGAAGCTGAGCCTCAAGAACAGTTCTGGAAAACCCAGAATTTGGCATGTCCGCTCGAGCGGGGAAAGCGACTCTTGAGCGGAAAATACGAGCTCCCAGAACTTTTTGCAGACATGGATGTCCGCTCGAGCGGGGAAATTCACGCTTGAGCGGGGAGCCATATAGTGTGATATTCAACTCAAGCATCCGAATTTACGTTCGAGTGTAAAAATGATGTAACCAGTACTTTTGCAGACCATGAGGATCCGCTCGAGCGGCGGAACCTATGTTCAAGCGGGGACCCCTGTTTCAGAAAATTTGTAAATGAGTTCTGTGTCTTATTTTCCATTTTCTTTCACTTCTAAGTACTTTTAGGTATGCATTGAGCATTATAAATGAATTAAAAGGATAAAAAAGAAGCCTAAGAGGGATGTATGAATTAAGAACGGATTGAATCGTTTGTGACCCATATGTGTTATGTAATGTGCAGGGTCAAGCTCAAGGGTGAATCCACTGGTAGAACACTGTGAGTAATATCTTAACAAAGATATCTGAAGTATGTTATTTGTCCAATTGCTTATTTTCATATAAGTCTTGCAAGTTTGTTACATTGAATTGGGGACAAATATTTGTTATGCCATGTGATTGGGCCAAAGGCCGTTGGATACAATTGATGGGGCTGAAGGCCGTTGGACATGGATGATTGGGCCAAAAGCCGTCTGATACGAATGATAGTCTGATACGGATGATAGTCTGATATGAATGAATGGGCCAGAGGGCGTACGACATGAATGAATGGGTCAGAGGCCGTACGACATGAATGAATGGACTAGAGACCGTATGACGTGAATGAATGGGTTAGAGGCCGTTTGACACGAATGATTGGGCCAAAGGCCGTCGAACAGGAACGGTTGGGCCAAAGGCCGTCAAGTATGAGTTAATTGGGCCCGAGGCTGTTCGACACGTCTGGAACTTTAGTCGAGTGATACATTAAATAGAAACATGAATTGGGCCTAAGGCCGTCTGATGTAACTGTTTCAAAGATTGTTCATGTATCTTCCTTATTTGATATTATTCACTGAGCTTTCGCTCACACTCATTCGTGTTTATGTAGGTGAGCCAGGGAACGTCCAAACCCAGCCTCGGTGAAATATGTGAGAAACAGTCAAGGTTTTGAAGAGTCAGCCCAACGTCTCACGCACGAGACTTGTCTTCGCCTCTTTTGTTCTTTTGTCATAGTTTTGTTATGTTGGCGAAAACATTGGATTACTTTTGTTTATAAACTTTGGGTTCGACTGACTTAGACTCAAATGATCCTGTGTGTACAGTTTATATGTTAACTTTACTCTGATGTGAGTTATTGACGAATACCTATGTGAAATGTTATGATGTGCATATAAGCACAGCTCCATGGACAAAGTTTTAAATTTTGTTTCCGTTTGGCCTCTTTACTCTGATGAGTTATGTCTTATTTGGTTTGAGGCCGTAGGTAATCTCTAGATTACTGGCCGGTTATGTCCTTAACCCATAGGGGCGGGTTCGGGTCATGACAAGTGATATCTTAATTTTTTCTTCCCCATTTTCATTCCAAGTTTTTCAAATAAAAATAACGGATGACACTCTCTTATATTTTTTATCACCTTTTTAATCATTTTAAAAAATACCCAATTAATGAAAAATTAATCAATTTTCAATCAATGAAATACAATTCTCGCTTTTGTGTTTTACATGTGTCATTTATACACTATTAATTTACAATTAATTTACTCATTTTTTTCCCCATATATGATAGAAAAATAATATTCATTCAAAAATTTTCACAAGAATAGTGTGACAATAATAATATTTTTAAAAATACAAATCATCTTGATAAGTTTTTGTACTTTAGATCATTCTATATGAACTTTTTGTGCATTTTTTTCTTTTAAAAATCACTATCTCTCTCTTTGGTTAACAATTTTCAAAATAATTTTTTATTCTTCTGTTTTTTAATCTTTAATGAATTTTTTTAATATTTAAAATATTTTTTTACTTTTTAGATTTACTTTAAAAATAAAATATTTGTGAAAAATTATTTAAAAATTTTACTAAATACAAAAAATAATATATTTTCGTTTTTTTAAATATTTATTGGATTTAATTTTTTTTACAAATATTTTACTTTTAGATATATTTAAGTAAGGTGCATCTAAAAAAAAAAATTGTTTAAAATTTTAAAAATATTCACTAAAAAAATATAAAAAATAAAAAAAAATTCAGTTTTAAAAAAATTAAATCAAAAAAACTGAAACCAAAAAATAAAATTCGTAACTGTTTTTTTATACAATAATAAAATTACTTGAATCATAAGTTGAAATAAAATTTTGACGTTATTAAAAATAGTTAATTGATTTGATGGTTTATTAATAAAATGGACTATTTTATATGAATAAAAAAATTTCAAAGAACGAGATGTAATTTATAAAACTGCATGTGACAATTCATAGTTAAAACAAATTTTAGAGATTATGTTGCAATTTATCCTTTTTTTTTTATCAAGATTAATTTCACTAAGGCCCCCCAACTATGAGCGAATATCACTTTATTCCCAATCTATGAACTGATATATTTTAATCTCTCAACTATAAAAACAGTATATTTATAAGATTTTTATAATTGAGAAATCAATATGTATAAATTCATAAATGAAAGGAATAAATTGATATTTATTAATAGTTAAGAAGTTATTAGAGTTTGTTTGGGAAGTGCTAAATAAGTATATTTTTTTAATTTTTGCAAAAAAATATCCAAATATATATATATATATATATATATATAACCCAAAAAATAAATGAATAAGTGCATTTATTTTATTTTATATATGCCAAACAACCCCTTAGTATATATGCCAAACAACCCCTTAGTATAATTTAAACTTGCCAAACGGACCGCAAGTGAGTGAGAGAAGTATCGCTTCTTTTAAACGCACAGACTAGTGCAAAAAGCCAAGCTTTGATCTTCCGGTCTCCTCTTTGCGTCTCTCGAATTCTCAATCGGTAAAGTTTTTCTTCTACTTCTCATCCCTTTTTACTCTAATTTTCAAATCAATTCGTCTCATATGATCTGTTATTCCCTGTTTTTTTCACTTTCAAGTACAATTTTGTTTATCACTTTGATTCATCACCCTAGATTTATATATATATATATATATATATATGTTTGTTTACACATCTTTTGGTTTTTATGCTTCAATTTCAGTAGCTAAGTGTTGGTTATAGGGAGAGAGAATGAGATATATAGGGTCTCATGGTGTTGCTGAGCTACATAGATACAAGTACAGTGGAGTGGATCATTCATTGGTTGCAAAATATGTACTACAACCCTTTTGGAGGCGATTCGTTAACTTCTTCCCACTTTGGATGCCGTAAGTCTGTTCTATTTATTTACTGTTCATTTATTGAGTGATGGATCACTCACTGTATTCATGTTTCATGATCAATTTTCTTTTGGGTTTTTGAATATATTAAGATTAGAATCGGTATACGATCGTTTTGTTTCAGAAAATAAGATTGTAAACTTATGATTGAATTCAAAATCTGAAAAATGGAATGAATTTGAAAAATAAAAATAAAAATTTAGGGCATAACTACCCATATAACTAAAAATATTGGGCTGTTTTGGGAAAATCCAAAATATGAGACATAAACACCAAGCGAAAGCTTCTCTAGATATAGATAGAAGATGCTTGAGTGCTTCAATATATTTTCTGGGTTTCATCACTAAAAACTGAAAAAAAGGAAAATAAATGTTGGGTTTGATAGGATACTTGAGCTGTATGCTAAGATGGCCCTAAAGATATATATCTGTCCATTATGGTTAATTTCATTGACGAAGAGTTGTACAAAAAATAAAAGAAAATTTGGAGTCATATTGTAGTGGTCATTCATTTTATGATTCATTTTGTTTTTCTTGGAATGTATTTATAATTTATTTGTGCTTGGATGTGGTGATGGAGTGATGGAGTTGGCTGACTAGGGTTAAAAGGAATGGGAAGGGGGATGGTGGGAGAGATAATAACCATTCACAAGTTCCATATAATTTATTAGGAAGAAGAAGAAGGGGGAGGAGGAGATGGTGGTGGCGGTGGCGGTGGCGATGGGGGGTTGCGAACAGTGGGCCGGAGCTAGAAAAGGCTGGCTGGAGGGCCATCGGAGTTGGGAGGAGTCGCCAGAGCTAGGGTTAGAGTTTGATCATTTTGGCAATTTGATTAAGGTGTAGAATGGTATTAAATTTTTTTTTTTTGATAGTTGGGGTGTCCAACTTAATTTTTTAGGTGCATTTAGAGCCATGGTAACATACAAACACTGACAAGGGGTCAGTGTAGTTTTCAGAATTTCAAGAGAATCTATATTTGTCATAAACCTTAGGGAAGGTAACTATAGTTTACCCTTGAAATAAAAACATAACTTAGAACCTTAATGTAGCCAATTTAATAAGAAAATGCGAAAAAAATATAAAAAAAGGAAAATAAATCTTGAAATTACTAGTTTAATTTGAATTATGAAGTTTAAAATCTTACTTCTTTTTTGGGATTGAATTTTCTTATTTCCCTGTTATCTACAAGGTATGATTCTGTTACGTCACTATTCGGACTTAGATGGTTTTAAAGATGTACACTTTTGAACATTGGCTGACCTTGTTCATAGCATGCCCGCTCACAAAAGTTGCTTAAAAAAGAATCCTATGGGTGATTTAAGTACATGTGATTAGTGTTAGATAGCTTGATATACATTTTTGGGCTCATTTCAACAAATTAGGCTTTTGGGATAATTGATGATTTAACAATTAGAAAGTTGTTGCATGCAATAAATTTTATTTATAATTCAGACTCTCCCTAGAATTTACTATGTATTCTATTTATTTTAATGCTGCATATTGAGTGTGCTGGTAGATCAGCTGTGAATGTAATTATAACCCAGAACAGGATTGCTGAATCATACCTAAGAAATTGCTTGAATGGTTAAAACAGCGTTTCATTTTATTTGATTAGCTTTCAGCTAAATGGTTAACTTTTTTGGGAGAAGATTGAAAAACAGTCAATCTATAAGCAATTGAAAATTTGTATGCTAAGTGTGATTGAGGTATGTTGGCTTGCTAGGCATTTAGATTGCAGCAATACATTTCATGAACTTTTCTCTTTTCCTGTCAACTACCTTTTGAGAACCTTCAAGTGATCATCTGTTACGGTGTTCCATGTCTTCTTATATTTCTCTAGCTAAGTGTGTGGGTGTCTTGAACTTAGTTGCACGAAGCGGGAGCGGGGGCGGGAGCGAGGAAGCGTGAGCCGATAGAAGTTTCTTAGGTTGGGAGCGCCTCGAGAAGCGGTAATATATATATATATATATATATTTTAATACACATTAGAAGCTTTTTTATAAATACTTTTATTTTAATACACATTAATTATTTTATTTATTTATTATATTTTTTAAATAATGTGTTATTGTTAATTTATTTTTATTTTATTTTACATATATGTGTGTGTGTTTTTTATTAACATGTATAATATATACTCATATATATATATGCCACTCCATCTACTCTACCACTACCACAACTTCACCACTAATCTCCTTCGCCATCACCACCACCACCACCACATTCACCACTACTGCCGTTCCCTTTCCTCTACTACAAAAAATTAGTTCCTAACTTTTAGTACTCCCTCTATCCCAAAATAATGGTCTCTTTTGGGGAATCTAACTTTTTTTGGTAGTACAATTATTGCATTTGAAAAAAGTTGATTTTCCAAAATTATCCTTTTGATAGTACATTTTTTGAGAATATCAATGTAATAATTGTACTTTTTATATTGTTTATTAATTTAACAGAAGGGCAAAATAGGAAATTTATATTATTTTTGTACTTGATTTGGGACTAATATTTTGGGATAATGAAAAATGGAATAAGGGACTAATATTTTGGGATGGAGGGAGTATATTTATTTAAAGATTTTATATGTTTTATATATATATATATATATTTTATATTTAGTTAAAGATTTTATATGTTTTATTATCTTATATATATATATATATTTCATTTATATATTAGGTATACATCGTGAAGGCTAGAGAGAAGCAAAGGAGACGAAGGCGAAGGCAAAGATAAAGATGAAGGCAGAGGAGACGATCTGTGAGAGAGAGAGAGAGAGAGAGAGAGAGGGGGAAAGACGATCTATGACAGAGACAAAAAACAGAGAGAGAGAGAGACGAACTGCGATAGAGACGAAAAACAGAGAGAGAGAGAGAGACGACCTTCGAAGTGATGAAAGAAGAAGAAAAACGAAGCAAACGACATACCAGACACAACCTTCAGTTTCTTCATTTTCTTTCTCCTCTCTCTCTTTGTTGACCAACAAGCTAGGGTTTTTGTTCTTTTTCACCAACGATCCCATCTTGGCTAGGATCGCGTTTCTCTCTCTACGGAATGCGATTCCTACACGTTTCTTTCTAAGAAACGCGGAATCGCGTTTCTTACGAAGATTCGTCACCTGTTAGGACGATTCCTGCAACTAAGGTCTTGAAATGTTACCGGGCAAATTTTTGTATCAACTTATTAAAGCATTTCTCATTTTAAATATACTAGTGCATTGTGCATGTGACAATCCTTGAAGATATTAAAACTTTCTAGTTTGCTTAAGCCCTGATTGTAACTTTCAAGTAAGTTAGTTTCTATCAAGTTGGTTTTGCTTTTCCATTGGATCAGAGGTTAGGGTTGTATTTAGTTGTAGCCTATATAAAAGTGCAGGCTTCAGAAAGTTATGAATGAAAAAAGCTATATTGCTGCTAGCTCGTTTTACTCTTTAACAATTCTTGCTTATGTTTTGTTAAATGTTTATCAGAGCAAACCTTGCAAGCTTTCACTGAAAGTAACTAACTGCTCTTCTTTCTTCTTTTTGTTTTCATTTTTTTTTTTGGGCGGGGTGCTTTTCCAGACCAAATATGGTAAAACACTCTTTGCTAACCATCTCATATTTTCTTGATATGTAAAGTTCAATTTTTTATGCTTTTTACTGCTTTAGTCATAGGTTGTGCCACCTTTTTTTCCCCTCCAGATTACTCTTATGGGATTCATGTTCTTGGTCATATCTACATTGCTTAGCTATGTGAGTTATTTTCCTTCTCTTACTATGCATTTGCTTCTCTGTACTGCATTTTAAAGTTTATTGATTAATGACATCTTTATTGTGGTTTGCATACTTCTTTACATATTTTTCTCCTTCTCTCTTGTTTTGTTTTCGTTTTTTTCCTCTTTCTTGATACGTGTCACTTTGTTTGATGAGAACATCATAATATTAAGTCAAATCTATTGTATTGCAAACATGTTGTTTCTCTTAATCGTAAGTTTTCAGCGGTTTGTATCCCCAAGATTTGTGGAATTTATTGGATAAGAGGAAATGAGGTACCAAAGGTCATTTTAAAAATAAAATATTGAAAGTAAAAAAAAAAAGGATTTATCAGAGAAACAAACTCATCTCTGCCCAATTTAGCAAAATCTTAATTATTAAATATGGATCAGCTATAAATTCTTACTTTCACCATTCAGTTCTATATGGAGTCATATTTTGGGCTCCAGTGTAGACAATCATGCCTTTCCACTTGACCTTTCATTTGTTCTTTACAGCTTCCCTCATTTCTTTGTGGCACCTTTAATTCTGATTGAAATTTCATTGGTAGCTCAGAAATCAAAAACTAAATTCTACTCAGTTGAACGAAAGAAAAATAAATGAAGAATTCTTTACTCAATTGAACAAGGTTTGTGTTTGTCCTGTGCTGGACCACAAGAAATGCATAAGAGTATATTTGTTTATCTTTCTAATGCTAAGCTTATACTTGGAAAATTCTTATAGTGCTTTTAAAGTTGTTCTTTTCGACAATTTTCTTATTTGGATTGTGTTTCTTCATCATGATTGTTACATGGATGTCTGTGTGATTAGATTATTTTGAATTAAATGTTTGCCTGATGACTCTAGATGACGGAAAATTTCATCACATGTTCTTGACACATTAGTTTCAGATTTGAATTTTATAATTCAGTTTAGTGGAAGATCAACAAGGAAAAAAAATCAGTTTAGTTCTAGTTCATACTTTGATTATATTTTGGTAGTGGAAAATTCAATACATTCACTACGAGACTGTTTTGAATGTGAACTTACACACAATTGAAATTTTTTGGTAGTTACAAATGTCCTGAAAAAGTCGCAAAATGTTCTATAACATTCATCTCTTGGATGTAGTGCTGAATATGGGCCATGGAACCGTGACAATTGAACTAAATGCAGATTACAACTGAATTAACATCCTGAATCTTAATATCTGTAAAATAAATAATGTGTAATTTTTAGAAAGTATGTGTTTGGCAAATGGGCACTTTCGCCGCCGAGTTAATTTTCATCTAAATCCCTGGCTCTTATCTGATAGAAAAGATTATGTTTTTTATTTCCATTTACTGTGTTTGAGTTTTAAAATAGTTGCAAAATATCTTGACTGACGATTTTCTTTGATAAGTGTCCCTTTCATTATTTTCACATGTAAGTGTTGCAGATATATTCACCTCGCCTGGATTCAATTCCTCCTAGATGGGTCCTTTTTGCACATGGGTTGCTTCTCTTCTTATATCAGGTTTGCTTAAATTTCCCACAAGCAGTGTTATCATATGCTTCTGTCCTGCTATGTGCTTGCAGTTTATGTTCATACTTGCTTGTCTTGGATGGCTTGATGAATTATATCTTTTGGGTTTCATTAGTGTTGTCTCATTTATTTCCTTGTGCACTTTTTTCTTTTTAAAAAAATTTCCTTCTCCTCAATGTGATGGTATGACACCTATAATGGTTGCTCTTTGGTCTTTGCTGTCATTTGTACTTGGTGCAGACAGAAATTGTACAGTTCTACACGATTGATCGTAATGTGCTAAGTATCCTTGAAGGTTTTAACTTAGGAAGGAAAATACCATTCTTATTGTCTTTGGTAGAAAGTAGCAATTCAATAGCATAAGGCATGAGCATTATGTGATTTACTTTCATACAAGGGAGTTTAAACAAAATTTCTGTTATTTTATTTTTATTTTTATGTTTTTGATGCATGGATCTAAGTATCTTTTCAATAATATGAAAAGGTTGTCCTCTCTCTCGCTGATATTGTTTTGGTGCCTATATATAAAAATGCAATTTGAACCTATCTTCTGGTAACCTGCCAGACTTTAATGGTTTTTAATAAACTGATTGGCTCTATGTAAATACTTTTGCAATGTGCAGCAAATGATTGTAGTTGCCGGAGAAACTTATTCCCAGCAAATGATTGTAAAAAATTCCCATCTCTGAGAGTGAAACTTATACATGAGAGTGGAATTTATTCATGTTTCTTAGTTTTAATACTTTTGCAATGTGCAGCAAATGATTGTAGTTTGTGAGAAACTTTTTCCCAGCCCATACATAGGGATGGTAATTGGCAAGTTGACCAAATTTCAGGGTAATTTCACCAGACATCAAAAGTTTGATCTGTAGTCATTGAAGCCATGCAATCTGCTGCTTAGAGTTACTTTTTTGTAAATGGAACTTATATATGGCTCTTAGTTTTATTAGTTTTGTGATGTGGGACTAGTGATTTCAGTCATAGGACAAACTTAGATATGGTAAATGGCTTCAGCTTGGGTATAGAGTTTTCATTTTGTAATATGGTAAACATATTTCTGCAATTTTTTATCCCACACCGCACCAGGGACAGAAAATGGAGGGTTGAGCCTTATATGAAAGTAAGTAACATCCTTTGCTTCTCAAACATCTCATGCTTAGTGAGTTACACATGCTAGAGGTGACATTCAGGTGAAATATTGTGCATTGGTCACGGACTATGGGAATATTTAGAAGTTCTGCTAAATGCCAGTCTGGCCCTGCTCTTTTTCATCTATTTTATTAGCCCTGACCTGCATTGCGCTATTTCAGATTCTGATTTCTAAATAGATTTGAAAATTTTAAATTTGATATGAACAGACAACTCTTTGCCTATGTGTGTAGATAAACGTGTATATATATATGCTTTCACATTTTACCTGTACTATGGCTGCCTGATTTGCATATACAATTCTATTCTAGAATTAGTTAGATATATGTTGCTTTTAAACCTCATTTGCTCAGCTACATTGGAAAAACCACCAGAATGAAAATGTTTTTGTGATCTTTCTATATATGACAAACTGTTTCCCATAGAGACATACTTCATTTTTACCTTTTGGTTTTGGGAAAGTGAAAAGAAACATTATTTACTTCTTTTCTGTGACTGTCGTGTTGGATTTTCTTTCCATTAGTTGGTCTTTGGATGGGGAGTTTACTCCCTTTCAGAAATTTCTGTTTTGACCTTCAAACCACTGCCAGACTTTTGATGCTGTCGATGGGAAGCAAGCAAGACGGACGAGTTCCTCTAGTCCACTGGGGGAGCTTTTTGATCATGGTGATTTTTCTTTCTCATGCAACCTATCTTTTCTTTTATATATAATGTAGAATATTGATTGAATTTTTTCTTGTTATATAACACTACTGCAGGATGTGATGCACTTGCCTGTGCGGTATGTAATTCTGTTATTGTCTTTGGTTGGCCATAGCAAGTGTATCTCTTTCATGTTTTGTTGATGATGTTTATCAGTTTGCGTCCTTGGCCTTTGGGAGTACTATTATGTCTGGAGGGACTACTTTCTGGTTCTGGGTGATAACAGCTGTTCCATTTTATTTGGCAACATGGGAGCAGTAAGCAGTCCAACTAATACTGGTTTATTACATTCTGCCTTATTATGAACACTTGATTGTTCATTCTTGCACACCTCTTCTTTTTTCTGTTCTTTTCTTCATTTTTTGGATGGTGGACGCTTCACTTATCATAATATTTCCAATTTCATTGTGGGATGGTGGATGCTTCAGTTATCATAATATTTCCACTTTCATTGTGGGCCAATAAAGTTGTTTTGCTATGCCATTTCCATTTCTAAAGGAATTTCATAGGGAGATGGACTTTATATAATTAACTTGCTTGCAACATGATTAAGGCCATGAAGGGGCCTATGCATGATTTGGCACAACATTTAGATTTGAATTCCTTGAATGGGAGCCATTTAAAATGCTTTAATATTTAATGGTTAAAAATTTGCTTTGTGGCACTGATGCTTTTGATGCAGTTTATTCTTATAAGATTTATTAATTTATTTAAATCATAATCTCTACATGTTTTCAATGTTTGTGAAGTTATATTTCTGTTTTGCCATTGGTTTTTCGGATTATACTAATAATTTGGAGTTTGGTTAGCAACTTTATCAATATCTCTTTCATTGTGTAGCTATTTCACCAATACCCTTATTCTGCCTGTTATCAATGGGCCTACAGAGGGTCTGATGCTGATATATTTGTGCCATTTCTTTACCGCTATAGTTGGTATGGCCCTTTACCATATTTAAGGCCCTTTTACATACTTCAGGCATTCATTATAGATATTGATATGTTAACCAATTAATAAATCCTAAGGCCTCGTTTGGTAATGTTTTCATTTTTTTGGAAACTGGAAAAAGAAACTTGTTTGGTATATTGATTTTGTTTTTAAAAACAATGGAATTGATTCCAAATTTTTGGAAATGAAAAAAAAGTCACTTGTCTTTAAAGCAAGTGTTCACTCTCCTCACTACCCCACCACCGGCCATCGTGGCTATCACCGGTTATCTGGCGGCAACCTTTTGGCGAGCTCTGGCAACCTGCTGGCGACTCATATTCATTGATTTTTTTCTTCTTTTTTTTTAGGCGGTATAATACTGTAATAATATTATTCCATTCTTTTTCAGGTGCTGATTGGTGGGCTCAACCTTTTGGAAAGTCTTTGCCATTTCTGAGCTGGGTTCCGTTGATAAATGGTATGACCTATGTATATCTAGAAACAGATTTGTATGACACAAATAACTTGTAGCAAATTCTTTTGTGCCTATGTTGTTGATCCTGTGTTTATTGCTTTTACCTAGCCAACTAAAATTTACCTTAGCAGTTCTGTGTGATATATTTTTAGGTGGGCATTAGATAGAAGGAAGTATCATCTTTGAGTTTGTATATGTGTACTCTACTCTTAAAATATGTTTTGTCCCAAAGTTACTTGGAATGTGAATCATTCCAGGACAAGGAACGGAAACCGGGACATAGTATGTTACATGCTCTAAAATGTGATACGTTAAAGATAGGCTCCTATAAATCACAATATTAAAATTTATTGAGGCACTTACAAACATGGGAGTAATTTTTTGTTAACAAGTGGAGATCTAATGGAACATATTATATTATTTTGCAAACTAATCATGTAAAAACAAGCTTCTAGCTAGGAGCATTATGGCCTCTTACATTTTGTCTTTCCAAAACTCCCCTCTCTAGATTTTCTTTCACCGTATTTGATTTCATTTTGCTTAAGGACATTGCTAAGGAAATAACTAGGAAAATATTTTTGGATCGATTAATTTACTTATTTGGAATGAAAGTGGTACCATGTTTCGGAATGTGTGTTCCAAAATGTATCGGGTATTAACATTTTCTGGTAATACTGGTATGTCCTACGTTCTTCTGAAACATACTAAAAATGTTATAATGCGACAGTGTTGCTTTAATTTAATTTTATTTTTTTCATGTTGTCATTTATCCATCTATTTTTTGACTGCAGAAATCCCAACAAACAAGGTTACGTTGTTTGCAATAATAGTTTTTGCTATTATACCAACGAGCTTATTCAAGTGAGTAGTTCTTCATATTCTTAATGCCAAAAAAATTACTTACTTTATTTGTTTGTATCTGTAGCGATTTACTTTGATGCCCTGAGAAAAAAAAAAAAAACTTTTGACTTTGAATTATTAGGTTTATTATGGATTAAGCAATTTTCCTGATGCTGTAAATCTGAATTATGTATTGTTTCAATTTGTTATGCTAGATGGATGTGACTTGTGAATGAAAACTTAGAATAGTTGTATTGTGTCGAATGTTAATGATTCAGTTAATTTGAATGATTGTGTAGCTATTTCACCAATACCCTTATTCTGCCTGTTATCAATGGGCCTACAGAGGGTCTGATGCTGATATATTTGTGCCATTTCTTTACCGCTATAGTTGGTATGGCCCTTTACCATATTTAAGGCCCTTTTACATACTTCAGGCATTCATTATAGATATTGATATGTTAACCAATTAATAAATCCTAAGGCCTCGTTTGGTAATGTTTTCATTTTTTTGGAAACTGGAAAAAGAAACTTGTTTGGTATATTGATTTTGTTTTTAAAAACAATGGAATTGATTCCAAATTTTTGGAAATGAAAAAAAGTCACTTGTCTTTAAAGCAAGTGTTCACTCTCCTCACTACCCCACCACCTCACTACCGGCCATCGTGGCTATCACCGGTTATCTGGCGGCAACCTTTTGGCGAGCTCTGGCAACCTGCTGGCGACTCATATTCATTGATTTTTTTCTTCTTTTTTTTTTAGGCGGTATAATACTGTAATAAGATTATTCCATTCTTTTTCAGGTGCTGATTGGTGGGCTCAACCTTTTGGAAAGTCTCTGCCATTTTTGAGCTGGGTTCCGTTGATAAATGGTATGACCTATGTATATCTAGAAACAGATTTGTATGACACAAATAGCTTGTAGCAAATTCTTTTGTGCCTATGTTGTTGATCCTGTGTTTATTGCTTTTACCTAGCCAACTAAAATTTACCTTAGCAGTTCTGTGTGATATATTTTTAGGTGGGCATTAGATAGAAGGAAGTATCATCTTTGAGTTTGTATATGTGTACTCTACTCTTAAAATATGTTTTGTCCCAAAGTTACTTGGAATGTGAATCATTCCAGGACAAGGAACGGAAACCGGGACATAGTATGTTACATGCTCTAAAATGTGATACGTTAAAGATAGGCTCCTATAAATCACAATATTAAAATTTATTGAGGCACTTACAAACATGGGAGTAATTTTTTGTTAACAAGTGGAGATCTAATGGAACATATTATATTATTTTGCAAACTAATCATGTAAAAACAAGCTTCTAGCTAGGAGCATTATGGCCTCTTACATTTTGTCTTTCCAAAACTCCCCTCTCTAGATTTTCTTTCACTGTATTTGATTTCATTTTGCTTAAGGACATTGCTAAGGAAATAACTAGGAAAATATTTTTGGATCAATAAATTTACTTATTTAGAATGAAAGTTGTACCATGTTTCGGAATGTGTGTTCCAAAATGTATGGGGTATTAACATATTCTGGTAATTCTAGTCTGTCCTACTTGCTTCTGAAACATACTAAAAATATTATAATGCGACAGTGTTTTTTAACTTGTATATGAGTGTTATGTTTTCGTAACTTGTATGTTTATGCGTTCCCGTGGAAGCTATTAACAAATTCTCTGCAAAATGAGAAAAGATCATATGATCTGACAACTTTTACTTTGTTGAAGTAATGAGTCTTAGATTGGCTGACATGGTGGTGCTCTTTGTTGAATCTAGGATTCATAAACCTTCTGCATACATTCTCAGCCAGCTAGGAGCCTAGGATGGATTCTGAAATTTGTGTCGTCTGTATTACATACATTCCTTTAGGTGCCATTGTTTTACTTCTTGGCAGAACTTCAGTTTTTAGTTTGACTACCGTTGTTAAGAGAAAGCGTTGGACCAAGTATCTTCTCTGTTCATTTTGTTTGGAAGCTACTAGTGAGGCTATCGTCCCTGAGGAAGGAAAAAAATATTAATTACCTAATTTGTCTTGATATCTATGTCGTAATCCATTGCTTTTTATGTTCTAAAGATTTTTTTAGTCTCAATCTCTCCTTGAATGGTGACTCATAATTTTTGTTTTTTTTTCTTGTCTGAGTGCATTTTTTTAATTGGCTTGGGAACTTTTTTTAATGAACTTTTTTGTTGTTTACTTTGTTTTCATTTTTATAGGATATTTATAGAAATGTGAGTTGCTTTAATTTAATTTAATTTTTTTCATTTTGTCATTTATCCATCCATTTTTTGACTGCAGAAATCCCAATAAACAAGGTTACACTGTTTGCAATAATAGTTTTTGCTATTATACCAACGAGCTTATTCAAGTGAGTAGTTCTTCATATTCTTAATGCCAAAAAAATTACTTACTTTATTTGTTTGTATCTGTAGCGATTTACTTTGATGCCCTGAGAAAAAAAAAAAAAACTTTTGACTTTGAATTATTAGGTTTATTATGGATTAAGCAATTTTCCTGATGCTGTAAACATGTTACATGTGAATGGGCTGTACATTCCCAAAGTCATAGATTGATGTTGTAGAATAGGGTTTGAGTTGCTGATTTGAAATTGTTGGTATGAATTATAATCACATTGCAGCATCCTTGGCGTGATTACCATCAAGGATGCTATTCTTCTTGTGTTTGTTGGATGTGGACTGAATACATGTCCATATTACTCGGCTGTTCTTGAAATATTTAGCTTATTGGTTGCACATAATTACATCAAAGATTATATCTTACACACTATATACATATTTTTTCTTTTTCCTTTTCTAAATAGCATATCCTATTACACATGATAGGCTTCATATGAGCAGGATTATTTTGGTCTCGAGTTTTATGACATTTTTTTGCTCATGCCAAAGCTCACATTCATGACTTCTTAACTGTTTCTGGGTGGTCATCAGCTTGATTTTACTTTATATGGTGTTCTGCTTTTGTGCAGTGTGTACAATGTTTGTAAGGTTGTTCGGGCGAGGAAAGGAAGCATGCTACTGGCGTTGGCAATGGTAAACCTGTTACTATTGAAGCTTTTTAAGGCAACAAAGAAAATCAGATAATCATTAAAAAATTGAAATACGAACGAGGACAAGAAGTCCACCAAAATCAAAAAGGGAAGAAAAGTTGAATTGGAGGAGGCGGCGGTGGATGTGATTGGGCGCCGGAGTTTGTCGATTGTGGAACGGGGTCAGGGGCTCTGAAGGGCGGTCTTGCTTGTTGGTTTTGAAGTATGTTGGTTGGTGGCGAAATTGCGGAAGGCTTCGTTTGATCCTGGGGGCCCTTCGATTTCTGGGACGCCTTAATGGCGGCAGCCGTAGTGTAGCAGTTTGGGGCCGTGGTGAGGAGGAGGTTGGGTCATCTATCCAAATAGTGGTGACGGAGGGGAAGCGGAGGTCTCAGCTTTTCTTTCCGATGTCTGCTTTTGGTGGCAGCGGTCGGTCTTTTGAACTAGAGGAGGCGGTGGTGGATGCGATTGGGCACCGGAGTTTGTCGATTGTGGAACGGGGTCAGGGGCTCCGAAGGGCGGTCTTGCTTGTTGGTTTTGAAGTATGTTGGTTGGTGGCGAAATTGCGGAAGGCTTCGTTGGATCCTGGGGCCCTTCGATTTCTGGGACGCCTTAGTGGCGGCAGCCGTAGTGTAGCAGTTTGGGGACGTGGTGAGGAGGAGGGTGGGTCATCTATCCAAATAGTGGTGACGGAGGGGAAGCGAAGGTCTCAGCTTTTCTTTCCGATGTCTGCTTTTGGTGATGGGTGGGGGGATTTGGCTTTGGTTATTGAAGGGTTCGGATTAGGTGATGGTTGGGTAAAGCACCCTGTTGGTGTGCGAGGGATGGGGCAACCTATTTCTCACCTATGGCAGTGGCGGGTTAGGTGCACACAGCAATGGAAGGTGAATGGTTTAAACTACTGGATAGGGCATTGGTGGGACATCTGAGAGGTGTGGGTGGTAAAGGTTTGAGTTTTGCGGCTATGTTCGATCGGGTCCGTCGATGGTGGCAGGCGTCGGGGCAGGTGGAGGTGCGTCCACTTGGTGATCAAGCTTTTTTGTTTGTCTTCTCTTCCAGACGCGAGGCGGAAACTTTGTTGCATCGGCGATGGACTCTTGATGGTCGAGATTTGTTGTTGGAATGGTGGACACCCTTGGCCCTCTGTGCTTTGGGGACGGAATCACCACCAGGACCAAGAGAATGGATCCGTGTGACGGGCTTGCCACTGCATCTTCGTGGGGAGGAGGTTTATCGTGTGATTGGCGACCAGTGTGGTGGCTTCGTGGAGGCGGATGAGTCGTCGGCGGATCTTGGCTCTTTCCGTCTGTGCGTGAGGGGTTTGGCAAAGATGCCGCCGACTGTCTTGCTCCGGTGGGGATCGTGGTCATATTCCTTACCAATTTGGGTGGAGGTTCGGCCGATGGTTGAGCCTGTGGCGCCGCCCGGCGGCGAGGAGGGTGGTTTGGATTTCGAATTGAAAGGGCGAGATTTGCGGCGGAAGAATCGGGGTTTTGCAAAGATCGTGGGGGTCAACGAATATAAGCAGAGATTTGGGCGACCCATCGATTATCCAGGTAAATAGGTTCGGATTTTTCCTATTACCCTAGTTGCCTTCGTAGTGGGCTCAATAGGGGATTTACCAGCTCAACAGTTGAGCCATTCTGAGGCCCAAAAGACTGTTGGTGTTTCTTTGGGCCAGCAAAGGTGGGCTCCGGTCCATCACCATTCACAAGTGGGCTTAGCTGGTGGTAAGGATATTTTCAACGCCCCTGGGTGTGGTTTAGGCCTAGTGGTGAAAGATCCAGCCCTGCCCAACCCGGGTTAATCCAGCCCTTAGTCGGGTTTGTGCTTCCCTTCGTGATGGATTGGAGCTTCGTCGGACCCATATTGCCATGGAAGCGTCGCCGGAGTCTGGGCGATCTCGGGCGAGGGTTGCTGTGGCGGATGTCAAAGGCTCCTCACATTCGCCTGGGTCTCCTGTTGAGCTTTCTCCGAAGCATCCAGACTTGAGTCGGTTTTGTGCTTCCCTTCGTGATGGATTGGAGCTTCGTCGGACCCATACCGTCATCGCAGCGTCGCCGAAGTCTGGGCAACCTCAGGCGAAGGCTACCGTGGAGGATTTCGGAGGTTCCTCACATTCGCCTGGGTCTACTGTTGAGGTTTCTCCGAACCATTTTCCTATACTCGTGGCGGATGAACAACGTTTGCAGGAGCTGAGTTGCGGGGAAGGATGCGAGACTGAGGGAACTGACGATGAAGGTTGTTGGTCCACCCGGGTAGATTAGCTGGCGCTGGTGGTCCAACCCGAGGTGGTGGATGCTGAGGTAGCTGTGGGTGATGTTGCGGTTGAGGAGGGCATTCATAGTCCGGTAGTGGACTTCCACGAGGATGTCATTCCGAGCTCCGAGGAGGTATTGAGGTGGGTTCTTTCTGGCATTAATGAGGTTAGTCATTTTTTGGGGGTGTCTTTTGAAGGTCATGAGCATGAGGCTTTTGCTTTATTTTCTGCCATTGAGGGCTCCTGGAGGGAGAGTGCCCCGAATTGCCAAGTGGTGACGCCTTTAAAACACAATGAGAAGAGTGTTAGGGAATTACGAAGATTGGAGTGTTCTTTCAATTATGACCGGAGTGAAGTTGGGAATGGACGGGCTGCTAGGAAGGGTCGTGGTACTCCTTTGATGTTGCAATGCGGTTAAAAATGTTGTCTTGGAATGTGCGTGGTTTAAATGATAGGGGAAAACGGGTGATGGTGAAATCTTTGTTAAAAACTGCGCGTGTGGATGTGGTTTGTCTATAGGAAACCAAGATGGAGAGTTTGGGGGTAGAGATGGTTTGAGAGTTGTGGGGTGGTCGGTTTGTGGATTGGACGTTTTTGTCTGCCCAAGGGGTGGCTGGGGGTGTTCTTCTTTGTTGGGATAGGAGGGTGATAGTAAAGGAGGAGGAGGTGGGGGCTTTTTCCATTTCTTGCCTTTTTCGTTGTATTGAGGATGACTTCCGCTGGGCCTTCACAGGTGTTTATGGGCCGGTTCATGGAGGAGACCGGATTGGTTTTTAGGAGGAGCTTCACTACATTGCCTTTCGGTGGGGGGTTCCATGGTGTGTCGATGGTGACTTTAATGTGGTGCGGAGTTTGGAGGAGAAGAGGGGGGCAACCTCGGTAACGGCTTCTATGCGGATGTTCTCGTCATTCATTGATGAGGTGGAGTTAGTGGATCTTCTGATGCAGGGTGGTGCATTTACATGGTCTGGAGGTGGAGTGATGTCTCGGCTTGATAGATTTTTGGTCACAGGGGATTGGGAGGAGCATTTTTCACATGTGACCCAAACACGTTTGCACTGTCCAGTTTCAGATCATTGGCCAATTTTATTGGATAGTGGGGGTATTCGGAGTGGGCCGACTCCGTTTCGGTTTGAGAACATGTGGTTGTTGTCTGAGGGTTTTCTAGAGCGAGTAAAGGGTTGGTGGGATAGTTATGTGCTCTCAGGCTTGCCTAGTTGTTGTCTGGCACAGAAATTGAAACTTTATAAGTCCGATTTGAAGAGGTGGAATAGGGAAGTGTTTGGACGCTTAGAGGTTCAGAAGGCCGATGTGCTCGCTGTGTTGCAGGAATTGGACGTCATAGAATCCGAGGGGATTTTGCCTGCGGCAGATCTTCGTCGTCATGATGATGTCCGCAAGGAGTTTGGCCACATTGCCCGTATGGAGGAGATTAGCTTTCGACAAAAATCTAGATGTCTGTGGTTAAAGGATGGGGATCGTAATACAAAGTTTTTTCATCGAATGGCGAATGCCCATCGGAGCGTGAATCAGATAGGTCGTCTGCGTGTAGATGGTGTGTAGTCTTCTTCAGATGCGGTTAGGGCCGGTATTGTGGGCTACTATGAGCACCTTTTTCGGGATGAGGGGGAGGTTTGGAGGCCAAGCCTGGATGGTGTTTCTTTCGATGTTATTTCAGACACGGTTAGTTGTAGGTTAGAGAGCCCGTTCGCAGAAGAGGTGTTGGAGGCTTTGCGCAGTATGCCTGGAGATAAGGCGCCGGTCCAGATGGTTTTACATTAGCATTTTTTCAGCATTGTTGGGAGGTGGTAAAGGCCGATGTGATGGCAATGTTTGAGCAGTTTCATCAGACTGGTGAGTTTGAGCATAGTCTTAATGCCACATTTATTGCTTTGATCCCAAAGAAGGGTGGGGCGGAGGATATTCGGGACTTTCGTCCTATCAGTCTGTTAGGTAGTATGTATAAGTTTTTGGCGAAAATGCTGGCTAATAGGTTACGAGGTGTGTTGGAAGGGGTCGTTTTTGAGTCTCAGAATGCTTTTGTAGGTGGGCGGCAAATTCTAAATGCGGTCTTAGTGGCAAATGAATGTGTGGATTCTTGAATCCGCCAAGGACAGACGGGGCTTATTTGCAAACTTGATATTGAGAAGGCTTATGATAATGTTAATTGGAGGTTTTTACTATATATGTTGGACAGACTCGGTTTTGGGGTTCGATGGAGGCGTTGGATCCAATTCTGTATTTCCACGGTGCGGATGTTAGTTCTTGTGAATGGGTCTCCAGCGGGTTTCTTTCCTACTTATAGGGGCCTCCGGCAAGGAGATCCTTCATCTTCTTTATTGTTTATACTGGTGATGGAAGCGCTGGGGCGGTTGTTATCTAGAGCGGTGCAGGGAGGACGGCTGTAGGGATTTGCGGTAGGAAAGGCTCCTGCAATTTTATCGGTTTCTCATTTGTTCTATGCAGATGATGAACTTATTTTCGGCGATGCAGACGTGGATCAAATTGGGTATTTGAGATGTGTGTTATTGTGTTTTGAGGCCGTCTCAGGTCTTCAGGTGAACTTAGCAAAGTCAGAACTGATTCCAGTGGGGGAGGTGGCTACGATTCCGGTGTTGGCATCTATTCTCGGGTGTAAGGTGGCAAATTTACCAGTTACGTATTTGGGATTACCTTTGGGGGCGTCTTTTAAGGCTAAAAGGGTTTGGGATAGAGTGGTGGACTGTGTGCAGCGGCGGTTGGCGGGATGGAAACGATAGTATTTATCAAAAAGAGGGAGACTTACGCTGATTAAGAGTGTTCTCTCTTCCATCCCAACATATTTTATGTCCGTCCATGTGATCCCGATATCAGTGGCCAAGCGGATAGAGCAGTTGCAGAGGGATTTCTTGTGGGGTTCTGGGGGGGAGGGTTCCCATTATCACTTGGCGGCCTGGGATCGGATTTGTCGTCCCAAGGTGCAGGGGGGTTTGGGGATTCGAAGGTTGGTCTTGTTCAATATAGCCCTGTTGGGGAAATGGTTGTGGCAGTTTGTGGCAGAGCATGACCGTTTTTGGAGAAGGGTAGTGGTAGCAAAGTTTGGTGTGGGGCATGGCGGGTGGTGTTCGGGGCGGGTAGGGCAGTCTCATGGTTTTGGCCTTTGGAAGGGGATTTGGTTGGGGTGGGAGGAGTTTTGGAAGCGGGTGAAGCTCAAGGTTGGGGTAGGGGATAGGGTTCGATTTTGGCGCGATAGGTGGTGTGGTGATCTTACTTTACAAGAGCGTTTCCCTTTGGTTTTTGGAATTGCCGACTATGCTGAGGTTTTGGTGGGTGCTGTGTGGTCTGGCTAGGGGGTTTCGACTTTTTGGAATGTGGGCTTGCGTCGTGTTGTTCAGGATTGGGAGCAATGTCAGTTGGTGGAGTTGTTGGCTTTTTTATATGAGTTGAGAGTGGGAGAGGACGGACAGGACTCTTTGGTTTGGGAATATCCTGGGCTAAAGGGTCTTTTTCCGTTTCTTCTTATTATCGTGTGCTTGCTCATGTGGAGGAGGTTGCTTTTCCTTGGAAGTGTGTATGGGTTCTGGGTACGCCATCTAAGGTGGCCTTCTTTGTGTGGACGGCTATGTTGGGCCGTGTTTTGACTTTGGATAATTTAATTCGTCGTGGCTACATATTGGTTAATTGGTGTTGTTTGTGTTGTGATGCTGCGGAGTCAATGGATCATTTGTTCATTCATTGTCCGGTATCTTCTCGCCTTTGGATGTCAGTTGTTGCGACTTTTGGTTTGGCTTGGGTGCAGCCAGCGTCGGTTCAAGCAGTCCTGCATAGTTGGGTAGGGGGTCGTGTTGGAAGGAGACGTCAGAAGGCGTGGATGCGTACTTCTCATTGTATTCTATGGTTGGTTTGGTTGGAGCGAAATAGGCTCGTTTTTTAGGGGCTGTCTCATTCAGTCCTTTGGTTAGAATGGCGGCTTCTTATGATATTGTATGGTTGGGTGACTAGATCGGTTGATCCGGATGTTTTGGCTTTTGTCGAATTTGTGGAAGATTTGATTTGTTAGTTCGTTTGTTTTTGAAGCCTCTATGGCTTCTTTTTTTATATTCTTTGCATCATCTTGAAGCTTCTTAATAAAATTTGGTTATTTATCAAAAAAAATAAAAATAAAAAATCCTAGAAATTAAAATAAGTGGAATCTGTTTAAAGAGCCTTAAAAACACAACTGCTCCCAAATTCTATCCTAATCTTTTACATTCTCCTAAAAATCTTTATCATTCCTTTCAAGCATAAAACCCCAAAGACTGTACAAGCCACACATCTCCATAGAACCCAAGCCCTTCTATTTGATCCAAATCCTCCTCTAAAATCAATACAAAACATAAGCTCACAAGAGGACGGAATGACCCAATTGACCTCCACCAAATGAAAAACATAAGCATTAATATTGAATGCTTTGTCTATCATTTCTCAAGTTTCTAAATAGATGTATTGTCACTGTTTCTTGTCAGCTTTACCCGTTTGTTGTGCTTGTGGGAGGAGTCCTGATATGGTACATAACTATTCATGCTATTTGTTTTTCACATGCTTAGCTTGGGGATCATATTTGATCATTTTTGTTTTCAATATGGTTGTTATTTCTTGTGCAGGGATTATTTGTCATAGTTGGGTAGGGGGTCGTGTTGGAAGGAGACGTCAGAAGGCGTGGATGCGTACTTCTCATTGTATTCTATGGTTGGTTTGGTTGGAGCGAAATAGGCTCGTTTTTTAGGGGCTGTCTCATTCAGTCCTTTGGTTAGAACGGCGGCTTCTTACGATATTGTATGGTTGGGTGACTAGATCGGTTGATCCGGATGTTTTGGCTTTTGTCGAATTTGTGGAAGATTTGATTTGTTAGTTCGTTTGTTTTTGAAGCCTCTATGGCTTCTTTTTTTATATTCTTTGCATCATCTTGAAGCTTCTTAATAAAATTTGGTTATTTATAAAAAAAAAAAAAAAAAAAATCCTAGAAATTAAAAAAAGTGGAATCTGTTTAAAGAGCCTTAAAAACACAACTGCTCCCAAATTCTTTCCTAATCTTCTACATTCTCCTAAAAATCTTTATCATTCCTTTCAAGCATAAAACCCCAAAGACTGTACAAGCCACACATCTCCATAGAACCCAAGCCCTTCTATTTGATCCAAATCCTCCTCTAAAATCAATACAAAACATAAGCTCACAAGAGGACGGAATGACCCAATTGACCTCCACCAAATGAAAAACATAAGCATTAATATTGAATGCTTTGTCTATCATTTCTCAAGTTTCTAAATAGATGTATTGTCACTGTTTCTTGTCAGCTTTACCCGTTTGTTGTGCTTGTGGGAGGAGTCTTGATATGGTACGTAACTATTCATGCTATTTGTTTTTCACATGCTTAGCTCGGGGATCATATTTGATCATTTTTGTTTTCAATATGGTTGTTATTTCTTGTGCAGGGATTATTTGTCTCCATATGATTTAATTGGGAACTATCCACATTTGGTTATAGTGGGAACTGGATTCGCGTTTGGGTTCCTTGTGGTAGGATATCTCTTTCTGAATCCAGTCCTTTGAACTTGATATTTTATGTCAATTAAAGCTGTTTGATCTCTGTTACTCTGTAATGTATTCTTGGAGATCATACTAGATGCATAATCAATCAAGAGTTTTATAAAAAATATGGACTTGTGATGAAGAATATTTGGCCTCAGCTCCTCTTGGATAAGCTACCCAAGCTATGTATTGGTTTGGCCAATTTTTAAGCCCTGTAATTTGGGATGTTTGGTTCTGAGTTATTATGTTGTCTTGTCATTAGAGTATTTGTCTACTTCTCATAGCTACAATAGGTCCCTTGTGAGGTGAAATCTGTTGCATTGGTAATTAAAGGACTAGGATTTCAATTGAACACACATGGTTGGCTATTCTTGAAGAAGATTACAGTTGTTACAAAGTGCTCCATTGCTGCATTATGAAGCAATTGTGCACATGTGTTATGAAGCAGAAACTAAATTGATTAATTTGTAACTCAAGTACATTGCACCATAATATTTGGGACACTTGTTCTATTTAATAATAGGCATGTTAGCCATTTTCAGTAGGGCCTCTGTCTACTTATTGTTCGCTGGCATCTGCATTACTTTGGGTGTCCAAAATGAGCCAAGTTTAATTCACATAGAGTATGTACAAGAGACACTACATTATGTGCATATTTCTTCAAAACACTTTAAATAAATTGTTTATACTACTTTAAAGAAATCGTTAAGGAAAATTTCTCTGTTACTCTTTCATTTACGTATGAAGCAAACCGTATAATAATTGGTCCATGGGTTTGAGTGTTTCTCAATTTATTTCTGAAATCAAAACATGCTTGCTCTAATCGCAGCTAAACCTTGGCTGCATCTTTTCAGCTACTTATAAGCCTGAATACTTTATGAGAATAGCCTCAATTTTGCCTTCATTCATAATTACGTTTCTCTGCTCTGTGTAAGCGAATGCACTTTTAGATAGCTATACCAAGTACAACTCTTAACATTTGTAGATCTACGTCACAGTTACTTATTACTTATTGGATTTGAACACTCGAATGCATGATAGGCTCACCCTCCTCATTTTGAAGATTTCCCTTTCAAATATTGCTTCTTCTTTTTTGTTGTTGTTGTTGTTGTTGTTGTTGTTTGGTTTGAACATCAACAAAGGAAGTTTTATTAAGAAAAAGCATGAGACAGAGAGAGGACAAGACGTCCTCATACAATGAAAAGAAAACTAAACAAAAAACGACAATGCAAACTAGCAGACTAGAAAACATGCCAACACTAAGAATGGCAAATAGCAACCCAATCCCTAGAAATTTAAAAAAATAAAAAATGGAACTCCTTTAAATGGAGGAGACACGATGTTTGGGATACTTGGTATACTTAGTAATTAATTTGTTTGCAGTGATTGGTAAAAAAATTTAATGAATGTTATTTTCTTCCAACCATGTCTCCTGATGCTTATTATGGTTCATTGATGAGGTTCATTTTTTCCATTGCGAAAATACCTAGGTTGCGCTGGTGCTAATTTTTGAAATTTTGTTGTTTTATTTTCTTCTAGTCAACTTGTTATCAAATAATTTCTGAAGGAAAGCTATTTTGGCAGGGAAGGATGATTCTGTCTCACTTGTGTGATGAACCCAAGGGATTAAAAACTAGTATGTGCATGGTATGTTGCATTTTCTCCTCAAATAATCCTGAAGCTATGGTGATTAAAATACATTTTACGTTCATGGTTTATGTTTTTGTTTTATTTCTCTTTTTCCCCCATGGTTCATGTCGCTTTGCATATGTTGCGTGTCAGTCCATTATCATTGGAGCTAGCAATAGGTAGGGTTGAAAACTTCACAACCTAGCAACCTGACTCCAATCATGTAGCTTGGACTTCCTGTTATTCATTAAGTGTTGTGCCCCCTATAGGTGCCATTTGAATAAAATTGCTATTTTTTTTAGTAACTTGATCATTTTAAATATTTAAATATCAAGAATTGCAGCTGAAGGTTCTGAATAATACAATAGTCGTATTTGGTAATACTAAGGTTCGTACTTCCTTTCTTCCTTCTGAATTGATTACTTTCAACAGCTTGCAGTTGATCCCTTCCGCATTAAAAATAATTAAACAAAAAATAAAGGACAAAATAAAAAGAAAAGTTTTGTTTGATTCCTTGTATCAGGAAAACACTTTTTGAGCTTCTTGAAACATTTACATAAAGTTCAATTTTGAAGTCTAAATCCTCATTGAAATTGGGTAAGATTTTCTGGAACCACATGCAAGGTCACTGGTGCTTTAGTAAAGCCCTTGAAGGAGGTATGTGATTATCATATAGACAAGGACAGAGTAATATGCTATTGACATAAAATTCTGATAGAAACCCATGTGAACTGGCATGCCTTCTTTAACCCTTATAAGTATAATGATCACCATTATTCTCTAAATTCAAAGGTTGCCTTCTCACTTCAGCTTTTGCATTTGTGCACATTTGTGTTAACATATATTTTTTCTTCAAACGCATGGCTTTTCACCATTCCTTTCTAGACCTGGTATATCAGCCTGTTTGAAAAAATATGGCACCATAGCTAAAATGGAAAAAATAATCAAGGATAACAATTGTAATAACAAGAGTGACATGCATAATGTTGTGAAAGGTTCTTACGGTTGGGAATTCATCTAAAATTTTACGCCTTTTTCTCTTGGATCAAATTTCTGCTTGATGACATTTTTAAATTGCTAAATAGACTGTTCAATAACTTATGGATAAGAATAAAACAAGTTTTCCTTTTAGGTTTTCTTCCTGAAGCACTTGACATTAATTTTGTTGATTATTTTTTTTTTATGAATTTTTGTATTACTTCTTGGCGATTCCTGTTGTATTCTTCAATCACTGTTGGATAGAACCCCAAGATTTGCATAATTTATGGTATTCTGTTATGAATTTGTGTTATTTCTTTTGCAGTCTTTATTTTACCTTCCCTTTGCCATTGCAAATGCTCTCACCGCCAGATTGAATGATGGGTATGTGACGTTTTTACTTATCTGGGACAGTTTAATGAATGCCAATGGGCCTGATTTACTTTCATACTTTGTTGCAGAGTTCCTTTAGTTGATGACAGATGGGTTCTTCTTTTGTACTGTGTATACACAGGTTTGATGTTCTTGCCTTGCTTTAATATGTTTATTGCCAACTTGAAGAAATTCCATCCTTATTTTTTTCCCCTGAAATAATACTTCAGAATCCTAATTAAGGAGGAAAAAGTCCCATTCTTTTATTAAAAACATGCTCGCTTTGTTTGGGCATCACTATTAACATTAAAGTGCTTAATGCAGCCTTATACTGCCCTATATTTTGTATATTTTGAATTCTTTTTTAAGGTTGTCTCTTGCTATTGATGATCTTTGTTGGCACAACTGTATGTTTGATGTTGACTTTCATTTTTGTGGCTGACATATTTTTTTGGCTGGACTCAGGCTCACTATATCTGCACTTCGCCGTATCAGTCATTCACGAAATAACTACCGCCCTTGGAATATACTGTTTCAGGTGAGAAATTTGGAGTTTTAACATACAGAAATAGAATGGGGAGTGTTGATTTGAAGTGTACATGTCAGTCACCACTTAATAGGGTTTGGCTTGTGTGAGTGTGTATGATTGCATATATCAGGCTTAGAAGACTATACCCAAAATACAAAACAGAATTGTTCAAATCTTGTGTCAGCGGCCATCTGATATTTAATAATAGGGTTTTTCCACTATGGACGAATTGACTTCACTTCTGAAGAATAGATGAATTTATATCTGTAATTATAAATATGTAAGTGTACACACACATATGTAGTCTTAACTGTGATTGTGATGTTATGTAATTATTGTAGTTCCATTTATAATATGCTTATAACAATGCTATTAATTGGTCGGTTCACATCATCTCCCCATTTTTCCTTCATTACCCGACAGGTTGTCCAAATTCTAAGTCAATTCCAATATCTGTACTTGTTTGGATTCCGGTTAGGTATTGCTGTCAGTCTTGGACTTCAATTTTTAACCTTCAAGATCCGTGTCTCTTTAGTTTTCCGTCGAATAGGTCTGTGTTGTTGAGCCGCATTGTGGCTATGTATCTGAAAACGAACTACATCAATCATTACTATCTTTAACAGTATCACGGAGAGTTGTTGAGTCAGGAACTGCCCATGTCATTATGCATTCTAAGCTTCTAGAACTGTTTTAGTTTTGTTCTTAAAATGTTGAAGATTCATTTCTGACGCACTTATACTCGTCATATGCCAGGGTTACAAGGAAAGAAGCTTGAGATGTGCAAATGTTGTATTCTGGGTATATACTGTAATGCCAGTTTTTTTTTTTTTTTGATCAGCTTGTAATGCCAGTCTAATATGCTGTAAATCTTTTTTTGATAACCGAGAACCGATCCTAGGTAGGGTCCTTTGGACCCAGCCAGGGGCATAAACTCAGGATACATACGGCCACCCGCTAGCATCATATATCAGGCGGAGCAGGACTTCAAGACTTGAACCTAAGACCTTCTGGATAGATGTATTTTTTTATATCGGCTTCTGGATAGATGTATATCGTGATGTTTTCACCTTCTTTATTTTCCTTAATACAGTTGGTTGTTATAGTATTCTTTATATCTATGCAAATGTATTTCTTCCTTCATAATATTTATTCATTCTACTCATTATTTCAGCTGCTAAGTCACAACCAATGCAGCAATTCAAGGTCTCTCGGCTGCGGTTTTGTCTGAATAGTAATTACATGTTATAAATGGATTGTCACAATTTCTAGTTCAATCACTCGCACCATTTTAATTCATTATATGGGTTTTACTACAACAGAGCAGGCACTTTGAGGGTTCACTTCATCCAAATTTTGGAATGAAAATTATTATCTAGCATTCTAGCTTGTTTTTGAGTGAGTTTGTGCTTGTCTGTTTGTGCATTCTATCCCTTGAAACTAACAAAGGGAGCGGATTTACATGTGTGAGCTGTGTTAATCAATCCTACTTGACATTAAAAAAATAGGGTTTTATTCCCTAATAGACAATTGTGTTTGTCTTTTACTATTAGGTTGCTCTTCCCGTGTTCAAAATATTAAAGGTTGGTGTCAATTTCTTTTTTACCCGTAGTGTATCACTCTCACAGTCTAATTTCAGGAGATCAGGAGGCTACTGTGTCTGCAGATTGGAAACCTCTGTAGGATGTGGAAGCGATCCGAGAAGTGCAAATACATCGAATGAGAAGAAGCAGGGGACTGTATCACTTCCTGATGAACTCATATTCTTCGACATACTCACAAGGCTACTGGTAAGGTCACTCCTCCTGTTCAGGTCTGTCTCCAAACTATGGTGCTCTCTCATTAGCAGTCCTGCTCTTGTCAATCTTAATCTGATTCAATCTTGGGCCGATCACCCTGATGGATTTGCATTACTTATATCTGTCCGTGATCGATGCTCATCAGAGCTGGTTTTGCTGCCTGCAAGCCATGGGGGAGACCTTGCTGCTCACTTTCTAACTCTCCCTGATTCAACCAAACACCATTCAATGTCCAAAAACCTCAATGGGTTGCTTTGTCTTCACCATCGAAACAGAATCACTTCCCAACTTCAAAATACCTTCCATTCCGACAATTCCATGCACATATGCAACCCCAGCACGCGAGAAATTGTTAAGCTTCCTGTCAACCTCCAAATACCCAAATTTTCCGCCCATGTATGGCTTTGGGTTCAAATCATCAAAAAATGAATATGAAGTTCTCAACATCCGAGTTAAACTAAGCTCTACGAAATGGAAAGATCAAAGCTGAGTGTGAAATTTTCATGTTAGGTACTGATTCCTGGAGGAAAATATACCCGGTGTTTCTTTCGATGCCATGGTGCTCGCTTGGTTGTATGGTTTCCAACAAAGTGTTTGTCTCAACAATGCTATACATTTTATCCTTTGCTGCAAGGGAATCATTGTGGCGTTTGACTTGAGAGATGAGAACTTTCGTGTAATCCCTCTTCCTCGTGCTGACATTGCATCTGCTAATCTAAAAACGAATCTTGTTCACGGTATTGCTCTTTCAGCTAGGCCTTACCTGATTCAAGTGAATGGATTGTTGGCTGTGATATGCTCTGAACATGTGGAGCAGAACATGATAGAGATGTGGGTTTTAAAGGACTACCATAGTGAAGTGTGGATCATGCAGAGTATTACATTTCTCTCTTCTTGGGCAGACCTAGTGTGCCCTTTTTACCTTATGGTACAATCAACACAGGTGGGGTCTTGCTTGTTCCCCAGATTGCATTACATGAGCAGGTAACAAAAGAGTTTGTGTCAGTACTTTTATATGATATGATGAAAAAGAAATTTGTAAGTGTTGAAATTAATTTGTTTCCTAAATGGTTGTCTTCGAATATTGTCGAAAGGGGTTCGCTTCTGTCCAGTCCGATCACTGGAAGGTGCTATTTGGTCCGCAGAGACTCACCATGGGTCCCGTTTCAATAATTTGAACTATTGAATGTATAAAATTCATCGAGTACTATATGTTTGTAAAAAATAATTTTGATCGGATATCAATAGCTATATGATCAAATCAGTTTTGTATAAAAAAAAAAAAATGAACAGTGAAAAAATAAACGGTTGACAGAAATATAATCCAGTGAGATAGCTATCTATATCTGATCAACGTGATTTTTTACAGACATATAGTACTTGACGAGTTCTACACATTGAACGATTCGAATTATCGAAACAGGACCCGTGGTAGGCCCCCACAGGTCCAAAAGTACCCTCCAGCCAAGCCTTTGTCAAAATTAGTGGTGTTAGAAATTATACAGAAAGCTTGCTGTCTTTTGGGATGAAATGAATAGACACAAGTTCATGTTTGGTTCTGTTTCCGTTTTTTGTTTTTTGTTTTGGTTTTCATTTTTTGAAAAATGCCAAAACTTGTTTGAAAACAATATGAAAGTGAGGGGTCTCCTTGAATTTTTCACTGTTTTTGTTTTTGAAAACATGAAAATCAAAAACAAAGAAATTGAAAACTGAACCAAAGATGCTATGATGATGGTTCCTACCATAATGGAGAGTGTAGTTATGGGTCTTTCACTTCTACCACAATGTACTTGTTTTTGCTATTAGAATTTATAAATTAAATGTCTAATATTTCTTTATGCTAAATATATTATGCTACTAACTCGTAATTAATTATTAAAACCGTGTTTGGATCACGAAATATAAGGAAACTGTAAATAAAATATAAATTAAATTTTTTTTGTATTTTCCGGTCCTTTGTCTTTTCATTTCTAATCTCTATCTAAATTTATAAATTTAAATTCATAATTCAAATACAGCCTTAGTATGTAAGTATTTTTTTGGATATGTGTTTATGTAAGGAATGTAAGTTAGTATGTGCAAGTAATGAAGGTTGAAGATGTTCAAGCTTCAATCTTTAAAGACAATGCGATGTGTGCTTTAGTTTGATTTTAAGTAGAACTGTATGATCATATCACACTAGTTTAGGATAGGAATGGCAATGGGGAGTTGTGGGGCGGGTTTATAGTCCTCGTCCCTGTTCCCATCTCCTAATTTGTTGAGGTAGGGAATATCGAGAATAGGCAAGGATGGGGTAGGGATGCAGAATTGTTGGGATAATTTGTCTCATTCAGAAGGGAATAATAAAATTTAACTAAAATTTTCTTTTTAATATACAACATCAAATTGAAATTTTTAGGAAATTTTTTTTTTATAAAAGACAATCATATTACAATCTCATTATATATAATAAATTGAGGGAGTGTTTGTATATATTGTTAGTAAATTTTTGAAAAAATTTATTTTTTTGGGTTCTACTTGACTAAATGGACATGAATGAACATTTAATTTTTTTTTAAAAAAAGTTAGTTTTTTGACTTTTTTTGTTTTTGTTTTTGTTTGTATGAACCTTTTTTTTTTTTCATTTTTTTAATTCCTCTACACAAGACGGACTCGAAAAGTACAACAAAATTGATTTAACTTTGAAAAAAATCAATAAAAACAAAAAAAGTTCAGACACTCTGGAAAATAGATTTTTAGTGGCGTTTAAAAAACGCCGCTATAAGTGTCAAAACGCCGCAAATTTCTTTTGCGACGTTTAGCACCAAACGCTGAGGACGCGGCCGTCGCTATAGCTTTGTGGCATTTTAGAAACGTCGTGATATTAAAAACGCCGCCAAATGTCCTAAATATCAGTACCATGACATCACTGTGATATTTAGCGACGCTTTTAAAACGCCATCGTATCTTTTTAAAAACAGATGACCGTTAGATTTAGGGTTTAAGCGGCGTTTTGAAAAACGCCGTGATATCCTTTTTCATTTTTTTTTTTTGAAATTGTGCTAATTTTAAACCCATCAAGAAGTATTCAAAGATTCTGAGACAATTTTCAAACTACTCTGCAAAAAAAAAAAACATTATTATAAATGCTTATAGTATGGTAATTTTAAAGAACTAAGTTGAACAGAAGCTAGTGTAAAAAGAAATTGTTGGAGTTCCTACTAATACATCCAAATCCACAATTCATGTAGTCAAGTAGTCTAAGAGAATACAGCAATGAAAACTTTCCATAAAAACCAATCTGCCTTCTGAAGCGATGCTCATTACGTGCAACCATTCCACGCATGCCAGCCTGAATAGAAACAACAGAGGAGCACAATTCTTTATAAGCTTTCCTAGCAAGATGCATACAAAAATCTCTCTGAATTCTCAGACAAGAAGCCTCTCCTAATGTTCTCGTAAACTTCCCGAGCAAGTTGTCCTGTAATCAGCACAAGGAAAAAATCATTGAGTTATATACTTTCAAGACCTCAGCAATGAGCTAATTAAAGAAGTTCATGAACAGGAGTGAAAAAACATGGTAGTCTCTTCTATGGCTTGGACAGGAGTGAAAAAAGCCCCACAAAATATCCTTCAAACTTTAATCAGCATTCTTTTATTAGCCAATGACCATTTACTTTTATTAAGCCCCGCAAAAATCACCATTTACTTTTATTATCTACAAAATAACATGCATGCACCTAATTCCAACCCATGAAAAATAACTGTAACATTTACCTATAGGCAGCAGTTTCATTTGTGCCCAAACAAATCCCTTTGGCTGAGTATGCTTTTAAATTTTATAAAATATATAATATTAAAAAAAAACTACATTTGGCTGAGTACGCTTTCTAGCATGTCTCACTCTATCACCACTAAAATTAGATGACCAAAACTATTAACAACTAGCAAAATCATTCCTTTTACTGGGCTTGGCATATACAGACTTGGATCTGCGATATGGTAAGGAAATCATAATTGCCCAGTGACATAATCTTACATTCTGCACTTTTGGTGCCTAAAAACTACCAATCAATGTTTACTAAAAATGGAGCTTTCATATATCTTTGCAAAGAAGTCAGAGATAGAGAGAGAGAGAGAGAGAGTTCTACCTGCCAACGAGAAATAGGTAATTTTATGCTTAAATGGGATAGACCTCCATTAGCCTTCCCAAGATTGCCCTCACTATTTTCAAAATCAATGGGATTTACTTTATGAGGCATAGTCGAGGACCCAATCTCACCAGCCTTAGTTATCTACTTGACATTTGAACTTGAAAAAACATAAGTTCTAGCAGAGGAAAACCAGTAGCAACATATTCACAAATATATCAGAAAGTTCACCTGCTTGAAGTAACCTAAAGATATGTAGCCTCACACGTCCCTATCAAAATCAATTAAGATGTTAAACTGGATAATTGCATGAAAAAATTTTGCCATATAGTCATGAGTTTTGATCTGCATAACATGTTCAAATTGTATTAAATTAGATCAGGTAAATATGCATGAATATGCTTGCATCATAAGCCCTCTGTAAGTTTCATTCACAAATCATTTTGTTTTTAAAAAGATTTTTAGAACAGTGGTTCAAATTATCACATTGGTAATCTGGAGCAGCAACTGACTTGCAGAACATGGTTAAACTATGAAAGCATTAGCTAGAAGATAATGACCCGAATTCTGAATTTTCAAGGAACACATATAAGTGATGTCCTCTATCACAGTTTAATATGGATGAATTAATTGTTAGATAAAAACAATAAGGAGCAAGCACGGGATAAAAATTCGGAAGAAAGTTCACTAATGAGTAACTAATAGGTAATAAAGACTACCAACTTCTCTAGCTTTGTACATAGAGTAGCCGTGTAGTGGATGGTAGGTCTTTACGAGCCAACATATAGCATATCAAAAGGATCCATCAAAATGTGGTTACTGATAAGAGAGTAATAATTCATGTTAACATACAATAACACTTTTAGACAGTTCCATGAATTAATTACAGTGCAAAGGCAACATATGAACCCAGATAGCCAAACATTTGCCTAGTAGAATAGACAATGAAATGAAGAAATTTTGAAACTCATACATCAAGAAAAGGCTCATTGCACAAGCAAACTGCCCAATCCCATTCATCAGATGTACAAAAAAACATAGCAAATTGCCAAATCCCATTCATCATCATGAAATGCAAATTTTTAAAATTTAGTATCTTTCCATCAAAAGATTGAAAGTCGGAGCTAATCATGTAAAATTCAACAGTTCATAAATCACTGACCAAAATCCCCATCATAAAAAATAAAAATAAAATAAAAAACACTCCAAAACTTCAAACAATAGAACAAGTTCTAATCTTCATAGCAAGCAATCCTCTCACTGTCTAATTCTATGTAAGACTTGCTCTTAAACAACTATTTCTGAACTCTAAACTAAAGTCCACCTTGCCCCATTGCTTTTGAATAACCCGATTTAACAGAATAATTACCCGACTTGGTATGACACCAAATTTGTTTGTCGGTCTGGTAAAGACATGACAGGAATATGAAAGCGTTTGATGTGTTGGATACAAGAATTAGGAAAGAACAAGCCTAGCAAATTCAGCTGCCAGTTCTTCATGTTTTTTTATACAACTTAAAAAATCATTTTCAAGCATATTTTATCTTTTTTCACCTCGTAAAAAAATTTAAACCAAAAGGTCACTAAAAAAATCAAATTACAAACAAGGCCTAATTTATTGTTTCTAAAAACTCAACTTTCAAATGAATAACACCAACCAAGATTTTAACATGCCGAAATCAAAAATAATTGAAAAGTGTAAAGTTATTGTTAGTCAAACTACTGTGATTTAAATTATATATAATTATAAATGTTATTTATTTAAGGTGAACATGGAGCGGGTATGGGGAAAACCATCCCTCCCCATTTTGTTATGGGGCCGGAAAAAATCTATATAAACTAGGGCGGGAAACAAGGATAGAGTTGGAGCAGAATAAATTGCCATCCCTAATTTAGGATTCAATTTTTGTGCTCTAATTTGCTAGCTTTTAAGCCTATGCAGTGAGTACTTTAAAAAAGAAAAAAGAAAAAAGAGTTATTTGGTAAAAGAGGACACTTATTGAGAATTGCTATAATGTTCTCAGGATTGGTTTCAATTTCTCTTCTATTGATGAAAAATTATTTAATACTTTTGAAGTGCCACGTGTTCATATTTCTTTATTAATCATCATATATCATGTTATTTCATATTTTTCAATCACTCGATACAAAATTATGAATTTTATCTTTTCTATCGATCACAATACCTTAAAGCATTACATGATCATACTGTAGGACCACCCAATAACCACTTGACCATAAAGTCTAAAAATTTCGTGAGCCCACTCTAAAAGCACATTTTTCAAGATTTAGCCTCATTATGTACATGAGCAAAACTTGAAGCATGAAAGAACTTTGAAATCCATTCAAGATTTTTGGTTAGTGAAAAACTATAAATAGAGCCAGTACTTTCAGTTCCATGTAATACAAAAAGTTTGGCTAAGCAGCCCTAGTCTCTCAAGTCTTTACACATAAACCTAGTTCTACTCTATGTATTTAGAGAAGAAGACATGTTCTTATGCATAGAAGTTCATTTGCGAAAAACTGCTTTATAAAATCACCCTACATCAAACGCACTATGTTTATACTATACCTTGGTTAATTAAATCATCAAAAGGTTGGATTTATTACTAGTCTTTTTTAGTAAACACTTTCGCTCCGTTTGTTTGGAAAGAACATTTTTAATTTTTTTTTATTTTCAAATGTTTGGTACAATAAAAAATAAAATAAAATAATGTTTCATGGTTAACAGAAAATAAGACTATTTGTTAGAAAATATTTTTTAACTTCTAAAAAATGAAAAATAATTTTTAGACTAAAATCTTAACAAGTGCCATAATACTATCACCTTCACCACCATACCATCGCTCCCACAGCCACCTCCACCACCTTTATCATCGCTGCTGACACTATTGCCTCTCCACTACCACCACCATCTTCTCCATCTTAGCTGTAACTGCTGGACAATTTTTATTGTAATTAATTAATTAATTCTATTGTGTACTTAATAACAACTAGAATATAAAAAAAATAAAGGAAATGAGAGAAAATTATTTGATTACAAAAATCAAACTAGAAATATAATTAAATAAATAAAAACAGATTTTATTTTGTTACAAAAATAAAATTAAAATCTGATTTAAATAAACAAATAAAACAGAATAATAAATTAAACAACTTACTTGATTAATTTCTTCGAATAATAATCTGATCAAGTCCAGTGTTTGACACTATGTCCTTAAGACAGATCCGTCCTCTCCTCGGTGCTTTCAGAATGTGGACGTCTATCTCCCAAGATGAAATGATCAACTACAAACAATAGCAGCACTACAAATTGTTTGCCTAACGAACACACTAAGTGTTTATACTCTTTCTCACAAAAATTAAATGCAGCAAAATGAAGAATAAATTTGCAGAGGTGAAGTACGAAATTTCTGAATTAAACATCAAATGAGGGCTGTCCTATTTATAGATAGATTGGTGGCTGCAGGTTTTGAATTAAACAGGTGCAAGCCTGTTTGAACAGGTATGAAACCTGTTTGGTTTTGAATTAAACAGATTTAAATTTGTTGGGTTCAAAATTCAAACAGATAAAAATGGGAAGGGACTTGTTTGGTTGTACAAAAAAAAAAAAACCGGACCAGATTATTTCCGAAATTAATTTGAATTTTGGATTTTATTTTTCCAAAAAATAAAATAAAATTCAAATGTTTTTGACCCCCAACCCAACCTCACACCACGCACCCAAACCCAAGCCCAGCCCGCCCCACTGCGGCACGCGCGTGTGGTGATTTTTGGGTCTAATGGGTCTAGCCCATTTTGCCTTAAAACACTTGGGTACCCCTTGGGGCACACCTCAAGTTCCAATCCCATACCTTATAAACCCATTAAAAACTTCTCACCAAATCAATGTGGGACAAGCTTTATTCAAACCTTTAAGGATTTTCCACCAAAACTCCATTTCCATGGAGCATACTTTGGCTTCAATTTCCCATTCACTCGGTAATGGTTTTGAGCAACCAAATATACCACGTGAATCACAACGCGGCATAGAACGCGTTACCACTTTGACCGGCGAAAATCGACGCACGGGGCCCACCTAAATATTAGACCAAACTTAGGAAAAAATCTATTTTTTACCCTGATTTTCCAAACCATTTCCAACAGTAACGCCCAGAAATAACCCAACACAAATTAGGTACATTAACCAACATCCATTAAGGAATAAAGGTAAATCTCCAACCTTTATATCATTAATCAATAAAGTGTGTACAAAAGTTCTGCATGCGAATTATACAATTAACGGTATGAAAATACATGAATCTATAGCATGTAGAACATTAAATCCTAAAAATAATAAAATGCCCTCATGGGCTTACGATTTCCAAGGCTTAAGCCCGGTTACACAAAAATGGTTTCACGAATCCATACATTTATAGTCCTTGGCTAGCAAAAGAAATCACAACAAAAAGAAAGTCATTTACTCTTCACAAAACGTGTCCACACCCTCAACTTGGTGGGACCACCACATCTTTTTCTGCACCAAAATCTTATAAGGGTGATCATAAAGCCTAGTAGAGAATTCTTAACAAAGTATATACAGTTATGCAAGATTTCTAATATTAAATGCAAATGCCATGCAATGCCAATTTAAAAAGGATTTCATTTACATGTCCTTTTAAAAAGTCACCATGTTTAACAACAGTTTGAAATATCAACAATTTCAAAATTTACAATTTTATTCAATAGAGGCGGAAAATATGACTCAGGTAATCCCTAGGTTGGTATCTACAAGTAGGTTCAACTAGCACTACCAAAAACTCCACTTTACCGGTTGCTAACCGGAAGGCAAGTGGTACCTCTTCTGCGCATGTTTTCGGTCTTTCACCCTGGACACTCAAGCCAACTTATCAATTTCATCTACACCTCCTATCCGGACTTACCAACGTATTTATCCCATAAACATTTCCATGATTTCATTTCACAATATTTCTTTCTCAATGAAAGTTCCAATTCCCAATCCAATGTTCATGACATGCAAGGTTTTATAAATGTCAATGCAACAATTATCTATGCAACATCATGTTTCTCCACTTTCAACATAACACCAACATATGTTCCTTAAGGATTCAAAATTTATGTTTTCTTTTTTCAATGCCATTCCGACAAATAGCCAAAAGGTTGCCATCATTCCTCAATATGAAACAATATATCCACAATTCGTGCACTTCCATCATTTTAATCATTTCAAAGCTATAGCAATATATAGACAACAACTTACAATCTCAAGAATTTTCATATGTTAAGAAACCCCTCATCAATATATATGCATTTGTATATAAAAAAAAAAAGAAGAAAATTTTCATTTTCTTTACTTAACAATGTATACACACACACACACACACACATATATATAATATCAACTATAAACTTCATCTTCTTCCATTTAAGGAAACCCCCAAATTTCTAGGTTTCTTCTCTGCAACAGCAACAACACACACCCTAAACACTTGAAAGAGATCCTAAAGAAGACACCATTTCCTTGCCCAAGATGATTTCAACTCTCAAGATATTATCTTAGAAAGACTTGAGATTTTAAAACCCACTTTTGAAAAAAAACTACATTCTTGAGCCAAAATCAAACCCTCATAATATTCCCAAGATAAACCCAAAACCCACATCAAACTTGCAAAACACATATATATAACTCAAAGAAGTCCCTACCTCAAGTTTTGAAGGAGAAAATAGATGAAACCCTAGAAATTGATGGTGCCAAAATCCAATCTCCACCGTACACGATGTAGCTGTTGAGGAGCTCTTCAACTTTGATGAAGGAACTTGGGTTGAAGATACAATAGATCTAAGGAGATCAAGCGTTTGAAGAGTTTAGGTATATGGAATGTAGAAAGAAGGGAGAGGAAATGATTTTTAGAGAGAGAGAGAGAGATGGGCTAAAAGTGATACACACACAGCCCTAAAGAGAAAAAAAACAGAGATTTTGGACTACCTAGCGTCCCACACGTGCAGTACGTGCCTGCACGTGCAGAGCCTGCTTTCTACATGTGTGGCACTAATCCTCGCACGTGCGACCCTCCAATCCGCACTTGGCCCTGCACCTGCATATAATGCAGTGTACAAGGCTGAAAATGTCACACCTTTTCGCACGTGCAGCTTGATCTCCAACACGCGCGGCCCTCTCTCGCACATACAGCCCAAGGCGCCGCATGTGCGGCCCTGGTCTTTCGAGCCCAGAATTTTCTCAGCTCAATTCTAGGCACTTCGGACCTGACCTCGCACTCTTCGGAACCAGAGAAATTCAACACAGGAACAAACATGAACAAAATTTTGAGAAGGATTCCCATACACAACAAACCCAAGCGATTAATAAGATTCCAAGTCAAACCAACATCCCAACATAACCACCCCAAAGTTAAACGAGGAAAAATGAAACGTGTAGCACCTAGTCATCACAACCTCCCCACCATAGGAAATTTCGTCCCCGAAATTCAAGTAAACTACCGAAACAATGGTTTTCTAGCAATCACAACTATGCCAACACAACTCCCAAGCACAAAATAGATCTCCAATCAACATTCACCATCATCATCATGATTATCTTAAGAATGACAACCGCTTACAATAGGCATAAGAAATGAAGCATTTTAGCAAACTATCATTCTACCACAACCTCATGCTTAGATTAATAATACGTATATTAACATATGATCGACAATTTTAATGAAGCATTTTAGCAAACTATCATTCTACCACAACCTCATGCTTAGATTAATAATACGTATATTAACATATGATCGACAATTTTAACACATTTTTCCTCTAACACTAGAGAATATTACATATTAAAACAACTAAGCATTTTCAAATAAATTTGGATATTTGGAGCAGACTTCCGCTTCCCGATCCCACGTTGCTTCTTCGACTCCATGGTGTCTCCATAACACCTTCACTAAGGTATGGTTTTGCCCTGTAGCACTTGCTCTCGGGTGTCTATTATTTGAACCGGCCGCTCCTCGTAAGAGACATCCTCATCTACCTCCAAATCGACCCAATCAAGTACATGAGAAGGGTCGGGTTCATACTTCCTAAGCATAGACACATGAAATACGTTGTGAATCATCGAAAGTTGTGACGGTAAAGCCAACCGATACGCCACTTCCCCAATTCTCTCCAATATCTCGAAAGGCCCAATAAATCTTGGAGACAACTTACCGCTTTTACCAAATCTCATCAAACCCTACCTAGGTGAGATCTTAAGGAAAACATGGTCACCCACTTCGAAGGACAAAGGTCGTCTTCTTTTATCGGCATAACTTTTTTGCTGGCTTTGGGCCGTAGCTAACGTCTTCCGAATGAGAGCAACTTTCTCGGTCGTCTCTCTAATGATTTCTGGACCCAACAATAGTGCATCCCCCACCTCGGCCCAACAAATCGGCGATCTACAAGGTCGGCCATACAAGGGAGAGGAAATGATTTTTAGAGAAAAAGAGAGATGGGCTAAAAGTGATACACACAGCGCCCTAAAGAGAAAAAAAAAAAGATATTTCGAACTGCCCAGCGTCCTATATGTGCGGCACGTGCCCTGCACGTGCGGAGCCTAATTCCCGCACGTGCGACACTGATTCCCGTACGTACGGCCCTCCAATCCGCACTTCGTCCCGCACCTGCATATTATGCAGTGTGCAAGGCTGAAAATGTCACACCTCCCCGCATGTGCGGCTTGATCTCCCGCACGTGCGGCCCTCTCCTGCACGTGCGGCCCTAGTCTTTCTAGCCCAAAATTTTCTCAGCTCAATTCTAGGCACTTTGGACCTGACCTCGCACTCTCCAGAACCAGAGAAATTCAGTACCGGGACAAACATGAACAAAATTTTGAGAAGGATTCCTGTACACAACAAACCCAAGCGATTAATAAGATTCCAAGTCAAACCGACATCCCAACATAACCAACCCCAAAGTTAAACGAGGAAAAATGAAACGTGTAACGCACCCGGTCATCACATTAGCACCATCACCACCCCACCATCATCATGCAACTATGTCCGCCCCACACCATCGCGACAACTTAATACAACTATTAATTTTAAGGATGTAATCAAATATTGGGGAAAAAAAAGATAAAAAAAAAATATTATTTTTTGTTGAAACAAATAGAACATTGATGTAATGGATTAAAAAAAAAAAAAGGACACTCGATTCGTAAATCTAATTTAAAATTTCCTTTGATCTAAAAGTCCACAAACTAAATTACTATGTCCAAAAAAACATGCACTTTGCGAAAAAACCAAATTACCCATATTTTTCATCTTTCTATTTATGACAGACATCTAGGTGACTCTAAATTACTCTTAACCTATTCAACTTCTTTCTCCTCTCTCTTCTCTCTTCTTTTTGTTTTTACTTGTTCAAATTGTGTCCTACCCTCAAATTTCTGTTATGAGGCCTATCTTTGTTGTTATAGAAGTAAATGGCCATTTCAATTTCTTCAAACCTTCCTTCTATCTTCCTTCAAAGCTTCTTTCCATCATTGACTCCTCCAATTTGTGAGTTATCGTATGTCACTGATGGCTTGGGGTAGAGAGGCAAAGCCGCAACTGTCTCTCTCTTAACACTCAATCTGATTTGGTGCCCAAACTCGCTCTGAAATGCAATCACAGATCTGCTAGCATTGGCATTGTCCTTCCTCCTCGACCAAGTCTAATCGCAGTGGATGTCCTTAGACCACGACCGTTGTTTAGTAGTAGCGGACGTGTTGGCTAAAAATGCTATTTCTTCGTCGCTGCCGATTCAGCCTTGCACTCCACAGTCGGTTCAGACCATCCAATCGCCGATCCAGGTTTTAGTGTTGTTTGTGTGCTTTTTTGTCATATTGTTTTAGCTTCTGTGAATTTTTTTTTGAATAAAGTTCTCAATTAGTGTTTTATTATCTTTTCAACTACATTTTTTGGCCAACAAACAAATTCTGGATTGGCTTATTTGGATTTTTTTGAATGATGTTCTCAATTAAAGTTCTCAATTTTGTTTTGATTATTTGAGAGAGTTTTGTAATTTGGATAGATAAAATCTATAGAGAAAGATAAAAATCTGTACAGATAAAAAATGGCCTTCAAATACGAGTTTAACAGATAAAAAAATTAAGAGGTAGTTTCAACAGATAGGATCAAAATTTTAACAGAAAAGATCCAAAAAATCGAATAGATAGGGAAAAAAATTGAACAAATAGATGTAAGTTTAAACAGATTGGTTCGAAAAAATTGAACAGAATAAAAAAAAATTCAATAAGTAGCTTAAAGGGTAAAATTAGAAACAAAATGTCCTTAAAAACAACAAAATGTACTTATCACCAAATTATTTCACAAAGTATGAATTTTTCACCAACAAAACATATCTACTAGGCCTAATGTCTTACTCTAGATTGAACATTTTAACAATTCTCTAAAAAATAAGATGAACCCATTGTTTTGTAAAAATAATCACATCTAAATTTCGTCTACAAATTATTCACTAGCATTATAAAGATGAATTATTTGATAGGAAAATTTTTCAATATGCAATGCATACCATATGCAACCTTATTACAAAATTATATAAATTTTTACAAAATTACATGAGTCTCACAAAAATACATAAGTTGAACGTAAATTTGTAAGAACTTAATACTCACTTAATTGCATTATAGAGGGGATTTAACATAATTTCTTTTAGTTGTGGAATTGTCTAGTTCACGTGTCACCTTCACAAATGAATTAAGAATTACTCAAAAAGTGTGGCGCAAGAGTTTTTGAAAAGCCCATACTGCATTAGTTGCAATGTTTGTGCCTTGAGGAAAGATACAGCGTGCATTTTGAGATTCAACATAGACTCTTTAAAGTTTTCTAGATCAATTTACAATGTTACACATCCTAGAATAATTCAGAACATTGAAACCTGGAGAAATCTAGAAAGTTTTGAAAGTTTCTAGAATACTCTAGAGAATAATAGAAAGCTTCACTATAAACTAGAGTAGTTTAAATAATTTTAAAATGTAATGAAAGGATAAAAATATATTAAAGGATTCTAGAAATCTAATAATGGCTCTTAGATCAAGTTGATCCTAGCCATTCATTAAAGAGGTGGGTAGATATATAAGGGGAATGGACATCATTTGGGAAGCATAGAGGATAGAGTGTGAGACAAAAGCTCAAGCATAAATCATTTCAAGTGAAGTATCTCAAAGTTCTTTTATTGTATACTTTCTTTTTGTGTAATGAAGAAAATAGAGAGTAAGTTCTTTCATTTCAAAATATAAATTTACAAAAGCTTGAGTTCATACAATTAAGACCTTCATCCTCATATATTAACCCTATAATAAAAAAGATATATATAGCTAATCAACTAACAAAACTACCTAATTAATCACAACTGCATATCTAATTACGTTACAACAAATTTAACAGAATGATCTAGCCTGTAATTATTAAAAAAATAAAAATTACAAACTAACTTCTCCAAAACAGCCCTTGTTCCAGCTATTATATTGCCTTCTCTAGCCATCTAGGTAGACTCAAAGAAGCCTTCATCCCAAGTCTGGTAAAGAACACTGCGTATAGAATGTGCAGCAAGAACACAAAGAAACCGCAGTTGAACATAAGCTGCACAAGAAGAAAGGAAACCTATGAAGTTCCCTTACAGAACAAAGAATACCAGAAAGGGAAAATATGGGTCCTTGTTAAACATACCAGTGTCCCAAAAATGACATATATCACATTCATTGATGGAATTGAATTGATACCCAAGGCAGCAAGTATGTATGTAAGATAAGCATGAACGTTTATGGTGATCTACAGACAAAATAAGACTCTTAAGTAAAATAACTGACACGTGATGGAATAGAAATTCAAGAGAAAAGGATAAATCAATTACCAAAGCAAGTATGTTTTCTCTAATTAAGAAGGAGGATACCAGAACATATCCCATGGCACCCAAAGCTCTAGCCTGCAAATTTAATAGATGTCACTCATGGGCAATACATTTGTGACAATGGAAATATTACATTAAACACGTCGAAAGAATTCAAGGATCAAGGAAGCAAACTCAACAATCGTGCAGAAGAAGATCGAAAGTCCCCAATTTGCTCCTAATCTGAGAAGATTCAAAATAAACTGTTATGATTTTATTATAAGAATTTGAATCATTCAACAATTGATAGTTCATAATTTCAAAAAAGAGGACAACATAAGTATTTTGGAAAGCTTTTGTAAAAAGTTATAGTTATCAAAGCTAGGAGTTCTTTTAATATGTAAAACTATAACTTGGCTTTGCAAAATTGTACTGAATCTAGTTGCTTAAGACATTAATGAAACATCGAAAGAATTATTTTTTCATTTGAGAATAAAACTTCCTATAGGGGATTAATGGAATTTCTTTTAGTCATGTAATTGTCTAGTTCACATGTCATCTTCACAAATGATTTAAGAATTACTCAAAAGTGTGATGCTAGAGTTTCTGAAAAGCCCAAATTGCATTAGTTGCAATGTTTGTACCTTAAGGAAAGATACAATCTACATGTTGAGATTCAGCACAGACTCTTCAGAGTTTTCTAGATCAATTTACGATGTTGGAAATTTAAAAGACTCTAAAAAGTTGTAGAGAATTTGGAAAATTTTAGAAAATCCTAGAAGAATCAGAAACATTGGAGAACCTTGGAGAAATGTAGAAGGTTTTGGAAGGTTCTAGAGTAATCTAGAGAAGAATAGAAAACTCCACTATGAACTAGAATAGTTTAAATAATTCTAGAATATAATGGAAGGATGAAAGTATACTAAGTATTCTAGAAACCTAATAATGGCCCTTAGATCAAGTTGATCCTAGCCATCTATTAAGGAGGTGGATGAGTATATAAAGGGAATGGATATCATTTGGGAGACATAGAGGATGAGACAACAGCTCAAGGGTAAGTGATTCCAAGTGAAGTGTCCCAAAATTCTTTTGTTGTATACTTTCTTTTGTGTGTGAGTAAAAATGTATCATATCTTTGTGTATTCATATATACTATAGTTGTGTATAAGTATTTTGCAATTAAAGAAAATTGTCTCTTTTTGTGTTCAAAACCCAACAATATATTACTTAAACAAACAAGGATACATACCTCCATAAAGTACCCATGGTCAGACCAACTAAACCATACATGAACTGCAAGAGAAACACATTCCACATCATCACCTATTTTACTAATTTAAGAACATCACAATACATCTATATGGTCAGACCAACTAAACCATACATGAACTGCAAGAGAAACATATTCCACATCATCAGCTATTTTCCTAATTTAAGAACATCACAATACATCTATATATATGTGTGTATATATATATATATAACATACAACCTCCATATATTATTTGCTTAAAAAAAGAGATTAAGGTTCATACTATTATTATAATACTTTATAGTCTCAAATATATAATATTAAATAAAATTCACTAGAATTTTTAACTCAAACATACAAAAATTTAAAGTTTTTCATACCATGAATATCAAATTGACACTTTTGAACTAGTATGGAGCAAATTTGACATTTTTTTTTTTGACAAAGCAACACACAACGTTACAATATACATTATCTATTAACACTATTCAAAAGATCAAAAATAACTACCTAAAATAAAAATATTCATATAGCAACAGGTTAGGAATGTTGGGAGAATTGAAGCAGGTTAGGAAGGTTGGGAGAATTGGAGAATGTCAAAGCGGACTTACCAGATAGGTTAGTGCTTTCACTGGACCAGACAAGACAAGTAACAGCATAGCAGTCGCCACCTGTTAGGATAGAGTTTCATTGCAAAGCCAGAAGATAAACATGTAACTTATCTATATGGTTGATAATTTAGAATTGACATGAAAAGAGATAAACGTGTAACTTCTCTACATGGTTGATAATTTAGAATTGACATGAAGAGGGACGAACCATAGTTTTTCTGCCAGCTGCTACACCCCATCTCATTGAGGAGATTACTATTGGCAATGCGAAAAAACAACCAAAATAATTCTGTACAAAGTCAAATCTCATTACATTCAAATCCAATTAACTTATTGAAAAATAACTAAAAATCATTTGATAAATTAATTTTTATGATTATGGTAACTTTTAAAACCATTGGTAAGTTAGTATTATCATTATTGGCAATGCGAAGAAACAACTAAAATAATTATGTACAATGTCAAATCTCGTTACATTCAAATCCAATTAACTTATTGAAAAAGAACTAAAACTCATTTATGCCAATTTTCTTCCGCTCTATTTATAGCTTTCTTCCCGTCCTTGTGCTGCCTTTAACTTGTATCAGATTGCTCCCCCAAATCACTAGTCTTTCCTTTATTTAATTATCTTCATAAACCTAACCAAAACATACCTTAAGTCCCAGGGTTGGCTACATAAATCTTTTTTCTCCATTCGACTCTATTCAACGTCATTTTGTTAGTCAAATTAAAGGGATTCATATCTCTATTCACTACACCAGTCTACGTCAATCTAGGTCTATTCCGTCCCCTAACCCTACCATCTACCGTCACTTTGAGACAATTAAAATATCTTCAATCATAATCAAAATAACAACCACAATACGTCATAATTAATTCATAACCAACACTAGAGCAGCCACAACAAGCTAGCTAAATTATCAAATCTATCCAACAAGCTAGTTAAAACAGTTTTATGAATAGGGACTAGCCACTTCTATTGCGCTACTATTTTTTAGTTACTTGCTTTTCAATTAGTAAATCATTTACTCTCTCTCTCTCTCTCTCTTTCTCTCTCACATAAATACCTTAAATGAATATTTTAAAAAAAGATTACCCAAATAAAGAATATTCCTGAAGTGCATATTAAAAAAATATATATATTAGCTAAATTAATAAAGTGAGATCTTGGCAAGAAATTTTGACTAGCTGACTCACAGGTACAACTTTTCTTTTGGGTGTATCATAAAATTTTTATAAGATGTATTTAATATTGTATTGATTTATCTCAAGTTTTTAATGTTGTATTTTATCCTAAGTTTAGAATAACTTATTATTTAAAATTCAACAACTTTCAACACTCACTAAATAAAACAAAACATTATTATTAATTACAATCATATTTTTCAACTAACAATTGGAAAACCATACCTCAATTGCAAGAGAATTGCTCAAGAAATAAGCTAACCCAGCAACAGCAGCAAACATGGAACACTCCACCAATCTCAGAGTCTTCTGATAAACAGCTCCTTCAGGTGACAAGTCCTCCTCCAACTCATCATCATCAGAGGATTTCTTTTCCTCTTCTCCATTGCTCCAAACCTGCTCTGCAATTTTTGAAACCCTAAAGTGTCCGAACTTAAGCCGACGTCTAGAGAGATAAATTGGGGAAAACGGAGAGAGAGTGAGAGAAAGCTTGATGGTTCCATGGAGAGTTGAAGGATTTCGTAGAGAGAGAAAGTGGGGAGGAGGAGAGAGAGAGGGACGGGGAGGCGTAGTTTGGGGAATGAAGAGAGCTTGGGGTCGACAATGGTGATGATGAATCTGGAAGAGATTCATGGAGGAGAGGACCCAAAAGCTTAGAGATAGGACTGTTGCTTGTGTGGTTGCGTCCAGATTTATAATTGGGCTTCTTTTCACTTTGTGTGGTGGTCACAGATGACAGAGAGGCCCATAAGTTTTGTAATCTAGCCCATTAATGTGTATCATAGCCCAGCCCAAAAACAGTGTCAAAGCTCAAAAACAATAGGGGACTTACCGGTCGGTCCCATGGAAGTAAGTTAATACCGGTCAAGTCCTGTCCTATTTTCATTTTTAATTTTACCCTTTAATATCACATCACATGCGTGAAGCAAAGAAGCCGTCACGAGCTCTCCCCTGCGAGCGAGACACACAAGCACCTTTTCAAGGGTTCTATTGCACACAAATGTGTGAAGATTTGGAAACCATTCTCTAGCAATTTCCGAATTGGAAATCAAAATAAACGAAGAGATTTTCGGTGAATCTTCCATCGTTTCCAAAGAAATCGCTAACTATTTTCATACCAATTTCGAATAGATCCCCAGCAAATCTCCCACTGTTTCGATCTATATTTTGATTCGAACATCTATTCTCCCTATTTAGTTCATCTTCAACAACACATGCCAATCAAACGCAAGTCGTACTCATCTTCCCTTTTTCTTTCATAACCATAATTAAGTGATAAAATTCGACATGGAGCTATTTTCAATGTGTATTATACAGTATTAATTTATCAGTGATATTCAACTTCATAATAATCATATCTTCATGTTCATTTGCTATACAATGATGGATTTGCTTAATTTTCCTAATTGAGTGATAAAATTTTCTATACAAGAATTTCCTTACTTTGCCTAATTTAATTATAAAATTTGTTATACAATGATAGATTTGTTTAATTTGTCTAATTGAGTGATAAAATTTGTTATAATGATAAATTGCTTACTTTGCTTAATTCATTGATAAAATTTACTTACTTTGCTTCATTGAGTGATAAATTATCAATCGTTTTCATCTTCATCGTGATACTTCATGTTCATTTGCAATTTGGAATCTCAACTTTGCTATACAATTATATATTTGCTTAATTTATATAATTGAGTGATAAATTCTTCTTAATCTTCAATGTTTATGCTCGATGTTTTTATACAGATGTTCTCAGTCATCGTAAAAGATTACGTTATCGAGAAACAAGTTTCTCAAAAAAGAAAAAGATTGGCAAAGTTGAGTGTGTTATAGAGCCAATAACAGATAAAAGTGAAAATCAAGTAGAAGTTGAACGTGAATCTAACATTGACAATGAGAAGCCCAAACAGCAGCAACTGAAACAACCTACAGAACTCCACAAAGCAAGAGGGAAGAAAAAGGTTGATGGAAGAAAAAATAGGACTAAATAGATATATGATAATGAAGCAAAGTATGTCTACCATTCTAACATTCAATCTCTTATTAAGTTTTTTAAGACAACAAAACTTAGAGAGGAGCATTTGGCACTATTGAGAAAGACTCATTTTTCACTTCTAGTTGATAGATTGAGTAAAAATAAGGTGAAAAGAAAAGATTCTATGAAATATGATGATGTGGTTGCAAAAATCTTGCAAACTTACCAAATGGATAGAGAAACTTTCAAAATAGGTGCTAATAAGTTGAAGTTGAAAAGCAATGATTTTAAGTTGATTTTTGGGATTGCATGTGGACAAAAGAAGATGAATCTCTCATATGGAAGAAAAAATGAGATAGCTATGGTGAAAAGAAAGAAAATAACAGAGAGTAGAATAACAAAAACATCAATCACAAAATTGATCACTCAACTTTTGGAAAGCAACAACAATGAGGATATAGAAGATGTTGTCAGGCTTGTGTGCCTCTTGATTTGTTTGCTTTTGTTATATCCGGGTACTGGGACTACAATCGGTTAGGGATTCATGAAATATATCGAGGATATTGACAGAATGAAGTTTTCTGATTGTGGCGCAGCGAAATAACAACTCACAAGATCAATATCAAGCAACATGAACCAAATCGATAAAGTCTCTGGAGGTGTGATAGTCTTATTGGTAAGTAAACACCTCACTTACAAGTTATAAGATATAATATTTACGTTTACTAAATACTTATTTATAACAATTTTTTTTTGTCCTCAACAGTATTGGATATGCGAGCATACAAGCATCATCAAACCAAATGACAAGAACGCAATCCCAAGATTTGCAAAATGGAACATCACACATCTAGGACAACAATTGGCAAATTCATCCTTGCACGATCTAAAAAATATTGTGGTATGCATTGATAACCTTTGTTTTGTTTAAATGAATGATAGATTTTGTTATGTAGTGATAAATTTTACGATTGAACCTGAACCGAACTACGTAAGGCTTGATTCTCATATTTGAGATACGTAGACAACTTCATTCTGAAGTCCAGCCATAAAAACTTCCAAATCAGCTGTGTCCATGTGATCATGTTGGTCATCTTTGTCTTTTCTGCATTCAAGAGCTCGGTTGTGATCTCCAGTGTAGTGCTATTCAAACAAGGGGCAACTTTTCAGTTGTTGGATCCGGGGTTGTACATCTCAAGGATAGATCTCGGGAGTGTCTAGTTGTGATCCATATCAAAAATGGTTTTGAAAAGTTTTAATAAAAGTTGATTTTGCTCAAATTAATCTTTTTACAACTTAGACCATTTTTTGACCAAACAGAAAATTTTCGGTACCCAAAACCTTCAATTTCATTGATTTCAATACAGAGTTCTCCGACTCTTGATACAAATTAAAGTTGCTTTTTATTACATTCAGAAAGAAAACTTGAAAGTACAGATTAAAGCAATAAACTCGGGGCATAGTCAGGTGTTCCTACGCCCCCTCCCAGAGCTTGTGGAAGCTTCTGATGCCCAAGTAGACCCCGTTTGTGCCTTATCTTCAAGCCAAGCTATACATTCGCCAGAAAGGGCACAACTAAAATAGGAAGTGGGGGCCTGAAGTTCTCTTATTCTCCATGCTGTGGCATACCAAGCTAGCTGTGAGCCTCGAATCAAAAATGAAGTTGGGTACTCTATTCCCCCTTCCAGGCAAGTCTAGTCGTGGCCAAGCTGATGCTTGAATCGAAATGGGAAGTAAAAGATACAGTTTGTCAAGCCAACCAACTGAATGCCAGGCTACCGGGACATGCTGTAGCTCATCTCAGGTAGATCAAACCAGGGGCAGCGCCAAGTAATGTCAACAGCAGATCTGCTGCACATCCAGTGGCACCACCATCCCTCGTTTGGGAAGTCAACTAGCCGTGGGCAGAAGAAATAGCCGCGTATTGAATACTCGGGGCAAGCGTCCACTACTTTCAATTTCTCCAATAGCCATACCTAGAGAGGGATGAAAAATAAGAGAGATTAAAGAATCGAGAGGTGTACGTGGAGAGAAAAGTGAGAAAAGGGTTTTGAGAGTAAAACAGAGCCTGAGGGCCGAGTGATGTGAGAAACACATGTAAGACGGGTGGGAAACATTACCTGCAACAGTAGTGGACTCCCCGCAAACTTGGTTGTCTCCCGACAGTGGAAAGCATCCAAACCCATTAAAGTCTCAGTTAGTGTCATGCCGATGCAACTTTTGTCCTCTTTCAAGCCTTAGGCAACCTCGATCAAACGAATGCTTGACCCTCCAAAGCCAGGGCCAAGCAGAAAATGGGCCAACATACACAAGCAAAGGGCATGTTGCTGAAAACTTCTCCAAAAGTGGTCACCGCGGTCACCGGTGTCAGAAAACTGATGAATCAAGCTGGGGATGTCCAACTCCCCATTGTGAACCAAAGATCGAGAATCATGTGAAGTGAGCCCGCACATCCTTTCTAAGGCTTGGATGTGGCTAAAATGAGACTAGGGCAAGATCTCTACATCACGCCAGGACTCCATCAAAGCCCAAAATTCTTTAATTGTGGGGCATAGCTCTTGTCCGCCAAAGCTGAAAACGTGTGTAACCGGATTCCAACACCTAGCCATGGCATGGAGGAATAGAAAGCACAACAGGCTACGGCTTAGCGGGAATAGTGCGTTTAGCCCGAAACTCTAAAAATTTAACTTTTTTGAGCCATCCAAGTTCGCAATTCAAATGGAGAGCTTTTCGGCGAAGAATGGTTTCATTTGGGGCAAAAATGGAGCTGAAATGAAAAAACCACGAAGCTGGAACCTTTATAGAAGATAAGGCAGTGAGTGGAGGCCAGGTGTTGACGTTTCGGAGGTTCTGCTATCGATGGCCGACACTTGCTCATTGATGGCCGATAGTGGCTCATCAATGGCCGCCAGAGGTACATTGATGGCCGAGGTAGGAGAGTGATGGCCGGCAGCCTCTCCCTCAGGCTCTCTGGCCTCCTTTGTGAAGATTCAGTTGTTTGCTGCAGTGGAGTCTTGTTATTTGTACCTTGTAAGGTCTTGTTTTGGTCCTCTTCGACTTGGGTGTGTTTTGTTTAAGACGTAATAGTCTTTGTTTTGTTTATCGAGTTGTAATCGTCTTCATTTGATTATCGAGTTGTTGTTTTACTTATCGAGTTGTAATTACATTGATTGGCCTGTCAAGGCCTTGTGTTGTTTATCGAGTTGTTTTGTTCTTTCAGTTGTTAGTTGGTTCACTACCTAACTAAGAACAATGCATTTTGAATGTGCAGTTTTCAAACAAAGATCAATCTCTTTTTCATGTTGTGCGATGTTATGCGTTAAATGTAAAATGCAACACCTATTTGAACCAAAGTTGAGTTTTCATTCCAATCATGGTTTTTTTTGCAAAAAAGTACAAGTTTTAAAGAAAATAAAACTGCCTAAGGCTGTACAATGTGCGAATACTACTAGCAAAAAGAGAAACAAAGCAAAAACAAAGCAAAAAACATCTAAATAGGCGCCGACTATCTCAAGCTCGAGAGGGCCTTTTTTTCCTCTTCCTTAGCTGAACAACCTTTGGAGCACTGTCACCATCGGCACCGCTGTCTGAAGCTGAATTAGAGCCTGAACTGGAACCCTCCTTAGCCTCTCCAGCCTCACTACTGGCAGAATCCGACCCGGCGTCGCCGCCTCCCCCATCAGATGACTCGGACTGTGG